GTGGGTTGAGGGGTCAGAGAGCTATGGTGGCACCACCCTTGACACCTTCCTTGGATTCAAACCCGGTGCCCAGCCGTGACCAAAACCGGTTGCTGAAGGTGCAGCGAGTTTATGGTCTCAGTCTGGCTTGCCAAATAAATACCACGAAGAAAACGCGTTGTTGTTTTTTTTTAAAGCTTGAGTTTTCACTACATTTGGCACAATTCGAGCCCGCGACAAACGAGGATCGTGACAATCTTTGGACGGCGCGTACCAACAGGTGTGCGCCGAGCACGGACACGAGGTCGACTTGGGACCAGGTAGTCCTGACGTCCATCTCCAGTGGCGAGTCGTGGTTGACATGGACTCTGGTGCCAGGGATGAGAAGGGGTCCCCCTCTCCAATTTCACTCCTCTTCATAACCCGGTGTATGTATGTTCAAATTCTATTGCAACTTACGTAGCCAAGCGTGCCAATCGGAGCTTGGGTCCCCACCAACCCGTGGGTCCCTGTGCGATCGCACCGCCCTGCACACTCGATTAAGCTAAAGCCACCGTTCATCTTCAAGAGCTATTCTGCTGCGAGAGCGACGCGCTGCCAACTGCCAGATTTCCAAATGTTAAAAATGTCATCTTCTAAAAGACGTAACATCAGACAACAAGAAATCTGGCATAGCCAACGAAAAGACCGTCCTGAGCGTTTCACGACCACAATCCCAACATCGCTGCCAGAATGATCGCAGCTTCGTGCCACGTGATCGCTCGGCCATGTGGGTGCCCTCGCTTCCATAGAAGCGAGCTGCAAATTCCCATTCCAAATCGTTCATTCCCTTCGGTGGCGAGATGTTAACTACTTCGCCTGGTACACAGGAGGTCGTGGGTTCGATCCCAAACCCTGACGCCTGCTGTATATTTGGAATTTGCGTGCCTCTCTCCCCGTGGTCGTGTGGATTTTTCTCCGGGTCCCTCGGATTTTTTCCCCCTCCACATTTATAAACATGTGTTTAGAGTATTTGTCAGCTATACATTTCCACGTGATCAGCCACTCCGTTGAGCTATCATTTGCGGCCAGATCTCTCCTCAGCAGGCCTTACCTTGTAAAATAAACCATAGTTTAGTTCAATTTCTGTCTGTTAAGCGACATGGTTTTCCGTGCGGCACACGGGTCCAATGTTAACCCTTGGAGTAAGTGAGTAAGTGACGGCTGCTCGCTCCGCGCTCGCTCGCAACAGATGCCGCGCCTAATGAGAGCGTCGCTCGCGCGATCACGCGAGGAGGAGACGCCGCTGCCAGGCACTGCCACCCAACCCCTCGCCGGATGAGGTCTTGGCAGGGTCTCATCGGGGTAAACGGTTCCACAAGTGGCGCACACTTGAACCCGTTGCCGCTCACAGATTAAAAAAAATAAATTTGTATTTTACTAGGTAAGGCCCACTGAGCTGTATAGCACCTTTGCAGAAGCGACCTGGCCACAAGTGACAGCCCAACGAAGAAGTGGCTTATCGCGTGGACATGTATTATAGCGGCAGCCAAAAACTCCAAACGCACGTTTCTAAATGTGGAGGGGAAAACCCAGAGAACCCGGAGAAAAATCCACACGATCACGGGGAGAGAGGCATGCACATTTTAAATATACAGCAGGCGTCAGGATCGGGATCGAATCTACAATCTCCTGTATACCAGGCGAGGTAGTTAACATCTCACCACCGTGGCACCCTATTCGAAGGGGGGTGGGGGGTTGGGGAATAATTTATGGGGAAGCAAGCTTGATTGCGTATAAACTACGTTTTCATTCATCACCGTCGTCATCATTATCAACCATGGTCACTCCACAGCTGGATGGCGAGTTTGGATGATAAGTGTATTCGGACGCATTATTTCTTTGTTTACAGTTCGCATTTTCCGAAACATCACCAAAGTGGTTTTGACAACGGGGCTGTCTAAAACAAGCGAACTGCACTCCTGCTTTTAACGTGTACGCTCCCCACCGCGAAACGAAATAATAACTTTAATGCCGCTTGTTAATCCGCCGAGTCTTAAGATTACTTTTTTTTTGAGAATCCCAGCTACATTGTTGGCATGTTTGACTAATTCTATTTTAATGACTATTTTTTTGAGGGGTTGGGGGGAGGTGTGGGTGTGGGAGAAAATGGGAGCATGCAACAATGGAAGAAGAAAAAAAAATCAACCACGCATACGAAGACAACACGCCCTCAGAAGATGGATTTAAGAAACAATTGCCCGCAGCCCGAGCCGATGGCATTCCCAGGCCGTCTCCCATTCGACTGTTTCGCATCCTCCTCTGACGACTGCTTTTTTTGTCTCGCGACATCCGACGCGATCAGGCGCGTTCAAAGAAATGTTGGTTGTAAGCCGGGGGTTGCCCCCTAACCAGCCCTCACCGACAAACCCGCACGTCATCTGCGCCACCCATTCAAACATCTCTAGCATTAAGCCAATTCCTCTACACGTGTAGTGGACACCCGTGAGCAGGAGGCGTACGCCATCTCTCTCTGCAAGTCGCTTCACTCCCCAACCCCCCCACCCCCGTCGCTTGTCTCACACAGCCAGCGGGCAGCCTGACATTGCACACAGGTCGAAGCAGCGCCTGCGACAGCTGCCCGCCCACTCTGGTGACACATAGTCCCGAATCGCGCGAGTTGGCGGTAAAAAAAAAAAGACACCTTTTCATACATTTCCGGCGTAACAATTTGGCAAATTGGTTGAAACGAGTGGCGATTTGTGTTTTTTTACATTTGACACTAGATATTTGGCGAAACTGACAATTTATCCAGCAATCTGCATCAGGCCCATGCAGTGTTAATAATACAAAACATAATAGAGGGGTTGATTGAAAATATTTCGCTACGCTGGCCAATGCGGGTTGGTGAAGGGGGGGGGGACCGGTTCAGATATCGATCATCACCGTTGATGGCCGTGACCGGGGATCGACCTCAAATAGCCGGCTTCACAGCAGTGCACTAACCACTGCGCCACCACTCCGCACCATTAACACAGTGCAGTGATTCACATCTGTTCGGCCGAGCAAGTGGCTTTTAATAATGAAGAAATTCCTGCCCACTCGAATGCACGTCACATTTTTTTCTCCATCAACACCAAGCAACCTCGTGCGTCACAAGTGAAGTCATTGTCTCCCCGCTGAAATCAACAATGCAGCACCACTGACGTCCATTGGCAAGCCCCCGAGCGAGTGGTGGAAATTAAATATTCCTATGGCGAGGTCCCCGTCCCTATTACTGTATACAGTTCCGATTAGCATGGTTGGCTACGTACGGTGCGAAAGAAGTTCAACATATGATAATTGGTCACTGGAACCTCATTTGCCAGTAAAAAAATGATAATTGTTTTTTTTTTTCCCCTTCTATCTGGCAACAAAACTGACACCTTTAAAAAAAAAACGGACACCTTTAAAAAAAAAGATCATATTTTTTACTGGCAAATGAGGTTCCAATGGTGAAGTTCAACATACATACATAGTTCCTCCCATGTACGATTGGGGTGGCATGCCAGTGACCAGCACGCTACACTATAATCCCGTCAACCTGAGTTTGATTCCCGTCTTTGGCCAATGTGAGTGCGAGTGATATTTGAACCATTCCCGTGTGCCCTCCCGGCAACACGCACTGACCAGCGTGGAGAGGTATGGTCAAACAACTCCTGAGACCAATAAGGTGAGGGAACGCCTTCATACAGCAGTGGAATCACAAGTGGCTGTATATTATTACATTACTGTATCATTATTACCGCGTAGTTTTTCTGTTTGTGCTGTTACAGCTCTCCGGCCTGTTCCAATTGTACCACGTATTGTTTGGCACGTCCGACGTTTCGCTCCGCATGCTTGAATGGTAGCTTGCTTCTTTTCTTGTTCAAATCAGCTGCTGAAGAAGCTCCCGCCATGTGCAGCGACACCTCGGCCATCACGCCAAGCAACGCGCGGCACGGCACGGCACCACATCAGAGAGCTGTTGTTATAACGACGTATGGACGCAGCAGAATGCAGAGGCACCAAGTGTGGAGCTTGACGCGTGCCAAGCTAGACGAATGAAAGGGGTTGATCGCAGTGAAAATGCAAGCTGGGTAGTGGTAGAGGCTTTAGGATCGGCATCAAGCCAATGCCGCGACCGCCAACGGTAATAACGGCTGGCAAAAAGGTGCAGATTGTGCGTTTTCGTGAGAAATTCCTTGTTTCACACGGTGGCTCCTGTCTCTCAGCCAGCGCTCGAGTGACGGGGGTCTGACGCCGATGGGACACGTCTCACCACGTGCAGTTGCGAGCAACTTGTAGTTGCGAAGCAGCTGCAATCGAGGGTTTACAGTGATTGCCTGTGATTTTCAGTGATTGCCTGTGATTTTGCGGTGTGCCGTCACTGATCGATTGACGGATGATTGAAACTTTCAAAGCCCACATCCAAAACAAAAACAGCAAACGTTACAGACATTTGTGCGCAAAGAATCATCTTTATTAAAAGCTAATTCATTTGTCAGGAATCTGAAATGTCATTCTTTCTTGTCCGAACACTGTACATTATAGATACGGATTTTTGAAAGAAATGAGTCTGAAAGTGCAAAGCTTACATACGTTGGCAGAGAATAAACAAATCAAGACAGCAAAACGCCCAGATAAAGGTGTCTACAAGAGCACTGAAAAAAATGAACATACCCAAACACCCCTCTTAGAACAGGCTTACTCAAAAATAGAATAACCCACACCTTGTGCAAGCATGTGGGGGTGCACGGACGTGGAACAAACCACTTTTAATAGGGGTGGCAGAGATAGAAAGCTACTTTGTAAAGAGCTAACAGCCCCTGGCTTTCACGACACAGACTCAATGCATGTCTTCATACACATTCATCAACCTGCTTATCCTTAGTACCCCAGTGACAATTTAATTCTAATTGTGTTTTTGCCAAAGGGATGGTGGGTAGGCCTCATTAACATTAAACACAACAGTTCCTGTCCCTTCATCGGATGCCAAGTCCACAATGCATTCAAGGGCGATGTCAGCGACTGCGGGAACAGATATGGGCACCCGCGGCGCGGTTTTGTGCCTAAAGGTTAACGCGCCCCAAAGCCCAAGTGAATGGTGACAGCAGAACAATCGCCGAGGGAATTTACGAGCAGGCGACGCGTCGTTAGAACAACAGGATATAGATATCGCAATCCGGTCTAATATGGCGCTTAGGGGAGGATTTAAAATTCACCCGATGAGTTGCACGACTGCGCGCTCTCCAGCGTCTAGGTGCACGCTCAACCTCGTGAATAACGTCGCTACCAGCTTCTCTGTTTGCCTTGGCTCCTGGCAGTCCCACCGCTCGCTCAGTGTTTCCGAGGTGTGCGTGACGATAACGCACTTGTTAACTCTCGTGAAAATCCAGCTGCGCGAGACGTCTTCAGATTTCCAAACTCTGGCCTTCAGGACCTGCTAAATGACAAAGCACAACGGAAAACGCACCGAGTCGTCACTTGTCGGAGTCCCACCCAACGCGGCGCAGCAAGACAGATTTCGTGGTCGATTTCCCGCGTGGGCTTTAAGTTAATCTGACAATGAGCCTGAGGAAGCCTACAACCTACTCCAGTTAGTAGTGGAGTAACGAATCAGTCCCGCCACCCCCGCCAATGCGATGGATTGTCGTGATTCAGGGTTGCGATTTCCTTTAACAATCGATTATTTTCCACAATGTGCTGAATGTAGCAGCCCCGTAGTAGATGCATGGGCCAGCTGAACCCCATCACACGCAACTCACGCGATGCGATTTATGTACCGCGAGCTTAAGAAGCAATCGATAAATGAGTGCATCGCTACACTCCGTATTGGATAAAAAAAATCCATAAAATGAAGATTTATTCATTTTTATATTCCGACGTAATATATTTCACTATTTTATGCGATCTAACCCAAACACCTCAATTATGGATACTATTGGTCACGAAAGCCTACGTGTTTAACAGATAAATTATTACATCTCAAAGTTGAAGCCACCTGCATATATTTTGCACATTTAAAAGTGGTGGGTAATGAGAGTGTTGTACATTCTTGGTTCTTTTGGAGTCGGCTTTAATGGACCACATTATCTCACTCATTTATTGATTTTGATACAGGTCGATATTAAACTGCAGACGGGCATCAGAGTGCTTTGTGCAGCGTTACTTACATAGCCAACAAGGCCTCGCACTCAATCATGAAAATTTAAAGAGGTAGCCAGGCTCGTGCAGGAACACGTCGTCACGCATTAGCAACGGATGACATCAGAACGGAAAAATCTTTCTGCCACTTACCGCTGGAGGAAAACACTGTCCCACGGTGTGCGTCATGCCCGTTGGCCAGGCCACGGGACAGAACTTACACGTTCCCACGCTGGAGTTTAAGGTTTGACTTAACGGCATCGTGGCATTTCTGCACGTACGGCAGTAAAGGTGATGTGCCGACAAATATTGGGCGGGACTAATTTTACTGCCACGTAAATTCCACTACGCTGTAAACCCGCACAATTGGGCTGCAATATTAATGACATTTAAAAGGCGGTGTCAGCTGGAGAACTGTAGCAGTTTGTTTTCGTGGAAACATTTTTTGTTGTCTTCGTTATTGCTGCGTTGGCGGGGATCAGAATTGATGTGGCGGCTTACCTCCAAGAGGTCTTCTGGGGAATGGCTGGAATCTAACTCCTCGCCACGGCGTATCTTGTGGTTCAGCAGCTCCACAGCCTCGCTCCGACTGAAACATCACGCAGTGGAGGTGTCACGGGAGGCACAGAGGTCAGAGCACTGGGCCTGTGACGCTGAAATTCTGAGTATGAATCCAGGCTTCAGCCGTCCGTTATTAAACTAGATTCCTGGAGAAAACCGTTTCAGGCTGATTACCAATGACTGTACAAACAATACATTAGTCAATTTTAAATTTCAATTAATTTATTCTAGGATTGAGAATTCAAAACTTTTTTTGATCGAAATCTAACAAATATACATTGCAGGGAATTTAGATATTTGCATGAAGTGCGTTTAAGTGATGTCATCTTTCAGGACTGTTCTATCGCACAAGGTGGTGCACTGATCACTGCGACAGCTCTTCATAGATATTTGGTTGTCTTGCCACATGACGCCAATCAGCGCAGTTGGGATATAACTTTGAAGAAAGCAAAAATGGAAATGCACAACAATGTCCTTCCATGTTGAATATCAAGTAAAAAAAAACCTTGAAATGTCAATTAAAACTTAAAAGTATTTTAATCACTTCGGAAAACAATATTAATCATTTTGCTCACCGTTACTGCATCAAGTTCATACAAGCTGCAAATGTATACCAATATAATATTAACAGCACGTGCAAGATTAGATATTTTTTGACAATGTGGAAATCATTATATAATAATATAATAACGCAGAGCGCGTTTTCCAACGCATTGCTGGATTAAAGTCTGCTGTGGTTATAGTCATGGCAGTTGTTTGTTCATACCTCACCACACTGGTCAACACGGAGCACTATAGAGGGACTGAGACTGAATACGAGTTTAGATATCACTCACCACTGATGTTAGCCGTGGCTGTGAATCAAACTCAGGTAACCAGGGTGATAATGTAAATTAAAACTTAATATCGTGATAGACTGTGCCATTGGTGGTTGCGGTAAATGAAATTAAAACAACACTTTGTTGATACTAGTACAAAACACCATCAGTAACACTGCCTCAGTGGTGGCATATTATGAACAGTTGTGCTTCCTGCACGTTTTTTCTGTAACAAGCGTGTGTTTATGATAAAGAGAGGGTTTTTTCTTATCTGTATAAAAAATATTTTTTATACCCTTGCCAACGCATTCCCTGCATTTCGCTTTTCTTTTAACTTTTTGGTGAGTTGGTTAAAAGGAAGTGTGTGATGGATTAAAAACAAGGCTGCTTCACAGATGGGCAGCCGTTCCGCGATTTTGAACGTGCATCTCGGACACTTCAAACAAAGATGTGGATAATCATTGGGGGGAAAAAAAAATCACCGAGTGGATTTTTAACGAGGGCATAGCATGTCTGATGACAAATCACATCATCGGACGTACTCCGATGAACTCACCGTGTCGTCCACGCCGGGATAGTGACGGCAAATTCAACTTCGTGTTCGTATCAAATAGTTGACTTGCTCCACTGAATAATTCAGATTTTCTAAAACGATGGATAATTGCCTTAAATATCATGACTACCCCACACGTGGGTAATTAGGAGGAGGTCGCCCAAATTGTGGGCACTGCCCCAGATGTGGACCAGTGCTGCTTCGGTAAGCGCCCAAACCATTTGGCATGCAGACAGCGTGCCGGTCTGAAAGCCATCTTCTCCTCCAGCTGGAGTGCCCCCCACATGCAATTTTTCACTGAATCTAAATCCAAAGACAAAGCTACCACATGTAGCCTTGTCAGGTTTTTTGGGGCAAGCACCGTGAGTGAGCACCTATGAAGGCAGGCACAGCACACTGGGTGGGGATCGGTGGCCATCGCCACGCCCGGCAGCCTTTGTCTCCATCGTAGCGATGTTGTCACACTGCATCAGGTATTCATTTCAGGTTGAGTCGACCTAGGGAAGGCCCAAGAGTCGAACGGTCCCACACCACCACTTGCGCACACACTGCTCAAAATAAACTACTCCCGATGTTTTTTTTTATATATCGCAGTATAAACTTTTGATATACAAGGCTTCATATTCGTTGTTTTGCCAAATCGCTCGGGAAGTCTCAGGCAGCATGTCGGTTACTTATTCGATTTCTTAACGGATCTATTTCTCTTTGCAGCGTCGCACCGTGTATTTAAAAGAAAACGGCACGAGTCCTATTCACGAGGGTGTGTCCCCCACCCCCCTCACTTCACGGTGTAAGAAATACGACTGGCCACTGCAAGTAAATCTATGAAAGGCACACACACCAGTGAGACACCCGTGCAATAAAGAACTGGGCCAATACGTTAAACATTCAGGGAATATGGAGGAAGCGCAGAGGTTGAGTAACATTGCCTACACGTGCTTGGGAGTCTAAAAGGCAGCGGGGAGGAAAAGGATCCATAAAGGGATGAGACAATGAACAACTTTTCCTCGATCAGGGCACTTATTGCGTTGGTACATCCTCACAGACATTATAGCTCCCTTTACGCAAATTTAAATAACTCATCAACCGCCGACCGAAAATGTAAACAGAGTGCCGAGATGATCTGCCTGCGATCGTTTAACGGCATGTGCAGCGTTGCCACAGGATGGGGGGAAAAAAACAAAAACGCACGCACACACACACAAGGACGGCAGCCACCATTCATCACGAAGTGAGGATGGCAACTGCACCGCAGCACGTGTGCCAGGCGGGGTGAACCTTGAGGTCACATACAGTGTCGAAGGCTCGCTGCCAGTTCGCAAGAAAGAGCCAGGTGTTATGGGTTAGATCACAAAATAGACTGTTTAGCCTACACAGGATGTTTAGTGAGGCAAGTGCTGTTCGTGAGCATCTATGAAGGCCAAGAGTAGTGTGGAAAAATGCCCACAGTAGTGAGCGGCAAACGTTTGAGAGAAACTGTGTCCAACGCACGGCCTTATCCGGAATGGCCAGTCGGCTTACGAGTGGATGCAAAAACCTGCGTGTCAAAGAACACCTTTTTCTAACTGTCCTCATTGGCCTTGTCGTTATTTGTGAAGCATCGGCCCAGGGTAAAACGGGCTTCGTTGAAACGGCACTCCGCTCACAGTGGACCTAATCTCCGCGACGTTTTCGTGCCACGAGTTTTTTGCGTTTTTTTTGTTTACATCCCACCGGCGGAGGACTCTTTTTACGGTTCGCTGCTGGGAGGCGGAGACGGGGTTGCAGGCGGGCAAAATCACCCACGGGAGCGTTAAAAGATTTGCGAGGCGCGCGTGCAAACACGCACGCGATGATCATGCGAATCCTAAAGTAATCGTGCCAATTTGGTCCCAGGACTGCGCAGTGTTAGGAATTCAAGGGCCATGATGGTGCAGCAAATTGGAAGTTAAAGACCCTGCGATGTGCCCTGCATTCTTACTGTGTGCTGGTGAAATCCTAAAAAAAAATTGAATTTTTTTTTATTACAGCACACAACATAACCATTATGTCAAGACAAAATAATCATTAGCGTTGTTGTGGAGCATAAAAGTAACAACAAAAAAAGCAGACAATATGTTTTCATTAAAAATGTGATCATTATACAGATTACTGTGTTAAATATGATATAGTTTTACGTCGAATTAGGAACACAACTTAAAAGTCGGGATTATTCCTATTCCATCTGGAAGCTCAGCATTATTGAGTCAAGCAAGCTTGATTCTATACTCTTTGGTTCTTTCGGTAAAGTCACGTAGGTAGAAAATAAAATCAATCACGACGTGTCGGGCGCAACACACAAGCGTCCGTCATCAGGTGGGAAAGCATGGTCTGCTGCTGAGGCAGCAGCTTTTAAAAGGTTTGAAATGAGTGTAGCTCAAGGGTTATAAAGAAGTGGCCGGGGCCAGTGATGTTAATGTGAGAGCTTGATTCTGCTAATGAGATAATGTCAAAACTGACCGAGCGTTTTGCTTGTATTGAATACATGCTGCTGATATTATGCACTTCCACAAGGCCTTGCGAGTGATGGGATGTGCAACAATACTTGTTTTATGTGGAGGGGTAGATATACGATGGAGACATATTATATTACATTTGGTTCTGTACCAAATTGGCTAAGTTCCAACTGAGAATGAAAAACATTAATTTGACCATCATGCAACAAACATTACTCTAATATAATACAGTGGGTTGGAACATGGTGCCCTCTACTGTATGGACCAGAGGTCACTTGAAGGGATCTTGGAGGTAGTTCTGTGGTATCCTCTTCCACGGTCGTTCTCCAACGTGGAGGGTTGCACTGCTATGCGAGAGACTCTCAGTGTTCAGCCGGCACCACTGGGACCCGAGTTAAAATACTGGCAACTTCTTGTGATACTGGTAGGAACCTCCTGGTTACACCAGCCCACAGGGGATTATTGTGTCCGTCGTGCAAGGAGGGGCTGGGTGGGGAGGGAGGGGCCGGGTGGGGAGGGGAGGGTGGGGAGGGGCTGGGTGGGGAGGGTGGGGCTGGGTGGGGGGTGGGAGGGGTGGGGCTGGGTGGGGAGGGGCTGGTCACCCCGTGGTGCCCTTATAAAACTCAACGTTTGACCTACTCACGCCGGCTTGTGCCCGCCCTCACAGTCGGGCATATTTGCGGACTACACCACGCCGCCGTTGACCCTGGCCATTGACCGAGCAACCCAACGTTCCTACCAGCTCCCTCCGCAGGAACGTGTTTAGACAGGGCTCAAGCGTAGTTTATGGTCTGAGGACAGTCACCAATGACTGTAAAAAGAACAGTCACCACTTGATATAAAAAAACGGCGACTACTTGGTATACATGAGAAGCTGAATCACTAGGGAATGGAAATTGCGGACTCGGGGCGAGATTTATATATTGGTGAGTGGGCAAATTAAACAAGGCAGAAAAAAAAACATCCGTCTTGGCAGATCTAATGGAGAAAAAAGCCATAAATAGATTCGCTCCTCCAGGCCTTAACTACCCTCTGTAAACATGTGAATCGCACCCAGGCCCCCAGCCGTGATGGTTTAGTGCTCCACTGTGGGATTCAGAAGTCCCCTTGAGTAAGTATGAGCCGTCCTGTTATAATTTTCACTCCCAGGGATTCTCCATAATCTGTGCTCTGCTTCCTGTCTCTCAGTAGATTTTCAAAGCATGCACCATTCTATTCTTCACGGCAAACTTTTCAGCCTTTGTTCCATTCTGCATGTAATTGTCCATGTTTTTGATTCGTGTGTAATTGCGGGTAAAAACCTCTCCCCTTTAGGTACATTACGTTGCTTTCCATTATTAAATAAAAATGAAATATCCGTTTCAGACGTCACGTTGACTTAAGGAAAATAGGTGGGCTTGGTCAGGAAACGTTGCCCGAAGGGGTGATCGTCCGGCGGTCGAGACTACCGACGCAGTGGCGGCCAACGGACAGAACGCTCCCGAGAGGAGGACATCTACCGTGGAGATGGAGCAACAAAACCAGCTCGTATGCTGGTGCTAAGACAGATCGTCGCATCACGAAACCGAGCGACGTCGGTGGCTTGGGGAGGCCTTCATCCGGCAGTGGGTGGCTATATCACAGCTGATGACGACGATAACGACGATAATGACGACAATGATGGGATTTCTCAGCGCTCACCGGCCATGCTGGGAAAGGAAGGCGAGCAGAGATCTGGGGGTCGCCTCCACGGAAGCAGCGTAGTTCAACACCAGAGACCAGTGTGCAGAGCCGAGTAGTCGCTCGAACTTCGACTTCTCAAACACGTGACTCAGCACCACGTTACGCAGCTGCAACGACGCAGAGAAAGAAAGAATGTGAACAGTAACGTTATGATAAAACACATTCCTGCGGAGGGAGCTGGTAGGAACGTTGGGTTGCTCGGTCAATGGCCAGGGTCAACGGCGGCGTGGTGTATTCCGCAAATATGGCCGACTGTGAGGGCGGGCACAAGCTGGCATGAGTAGGTTAAACGTTGAGTTTTATAAGGGCAACCTTGAGCAACCTTGAGCTGAAGGTGGAGTTGCACCGATGTGTATTGTACCAGTCAGGGCGACCGTATCACCACCACCTATCCAGCCGCTTGGTATGATTTATTGCTTCCGAGCATCGGGGAGTCATCGAACCTTGGCTGGATTGTATTAACGCACGCTACAGCTACATTTGTCCTAACTGCTGCTTATCCAAACTGGTGTATCTCCTCCCTACGGGATGTGTGAATAATTGATGCTGTTCTATTAAAGAAAAAAAGGGGACCCAAAATCTGAAGAGCTGGTGTTTGCCGAGGACGCCGCCAGAGAGAGAAGTTACACGTCGTGGTCTATTGGCGGAAACGATTGTAATTAGGAGAGATAATTTCCCCGAAAAAAATCTATAGCGTCCAACAGGCGCTTCAATTGTTTCTTCACCCTGAACGTGCAGTCAAGGCGGCTAATTTGTCCTCCGAAAGCGAAGCACATCGTCCATCATCCCTCGTCGTGGGGGGAGTCGCAGGCGCGTGTGGCCCCAGCCATACGTCGTGATGATCCGCGCCCTGGCAATCTTCCGTCCCCATAGTTTCCCCACCGAATCCGCCATTCATACCGACAAATAACTGACGGGGGCATGCGTCACAATTCATCGCAAGCAGATGCTGAGCTTTCACATCCAGCTCCATCAACGTCAAGGAAAATGTGTTTTTTCAGAGGGTGCTGATCATTTCATTTTTTTTATAAACAAGGAGTTCTTTTGCTGTTAACGCCGCGTTGACTCACCTCCAGGAAACGTTCACAAGCATTAAACTCCACGGTCACGCTTGTGCAATTTCTTAACGCCAACATCGCAAACGACAACAGGTCTTTGATCGCACATCTTATAAGCAGGCAAACCCTATTGCCGAGCAGCGAGCACGCGATGCAACGCTAGAATTCTCCGCCCATCAAGAGCCGTCGCGTCTCTCGAAGTGACACTGGAAGTAAAATCGAAGGGACGTGACATACAAAGACGATGTAACCGCGCTGTGCACTGTGCCCAGTCCTACAAGGATTTTTTTTCTCCTCCCCTTCACCCCGAGTGAAAAAAAAAATGCATTTGTTGCCCAAGGGCAGGCTTATCATGGGCGAGTGCACCCAACGTGCCTGGAGTGCAAGTCCCGAGAATTCCGTCTTGTCCACGTCCTCCGAGACCTGTGTCAGAAGCGTGTCCAGACAGCACGAGGAGAGGAAGCCCTGGCAGAGAGTGGGAGGCACAGAAGCGATGCCACCATTACATTTCGGCAAAGGCTGGCACACACGCATGGGTTCGGGAGGCTCGCCATTCGGCGACTTAAAGAGCCGTAATCTATAAAAATGCATCTGATCTTCCAGATACAGCATTTGTCCAGACTGTCTCCTGAATTGTCCGACTAGGGTTTAGAAGTATCGTTAGTAAGAATAAGACTTTAACGTGGATTTTGGCCGAGCCGTGGTGGTGCTCGTGACGTCTTTGCAATATTCTATTAAAATGTACGAAATTCATGCTGCAGTAATATCACTGGACCACTAAGCCACCTCTAAAAGTAAATGTTCTCATCAATAAAGCATCGGATTTATGGCAGACAGCTCTATATAGCTTGACGTGCATCCAGAGGATACGTACTGTTGATTTTTTGAGTTGTGCCATTCCTTTTAACTACCCAGCATAAACATTTTCAAAGTAACCCCGACAAATGCCATGTTTCCTGTGTCTATCTCATGCCAATTAAAGCAATGCTTTTTTTATATTATCAGCACTGGAATAAACAAAATCAAGTGAAAAAATACATTACATTTCGATGGAGTTTTTTTTTGCAAACTGACTGGACAGGGACCATCAAATCAGTAGAACTGAGAATCCAGTGAAATCACAGTTGGGTGGCTCAAACTTGGTTTCGAACCCAGCGTCTCAGCAGCGGCAGCAGCTCAGTGTTGTGACAAGGCCGTCATACACCGCCCCCACATCTCCGCATCCGCGTCACGACGCGCTACCGCCACTCGCGATGACGCGTTACCTCCACGGCTCAGGTCAACGGGTCCTTTGTTCCCTATTAGCCACGCGCGCCACCTCCTTTAACACCACATGTTAGGGGCCCCATCCATGTAGTACGTACGCAAAAATCTGTCAAAACTTGACCCCTCCACCCCTCCCTGTACGCACGCGTACTTTTTACACCACCCCCCCCCCCGACCGGCGTACGTAAGCTTGACAAATCCTATAGAACGGCCGGTATTTAATCCACGCAGAAATGATCAAGGATGAATAATATTAACGTGTTTAAGCAATCAGATAGTCCACCGCCGAATGCATTAAAGAATTAAGTTGCGTACCTTTAAAAAGATTGTCTGGTGTCCGCTAGGTTCAAACGCCGACTGAACCCAGTCGGACAGGTTACGTATTATAGGGATTTCGTCAACACGCGCAATGTCAGGCTGAAGCACAGCAGCATGAGCTGCAGTCTGCTGGGCCGCCGTCTCAATATCCACAGCGTAGCTGACGTCATCATCATCCAGCTTTTGATTGTTCTCACTGTCAGAAGACTCAGTCGTGTGAATGCACTGGTGTCGTTTTACACTGGCCTGCGGCAGCTAAAATCTTGAGCCAGCGGCAGTCTGTAGTGAGGCCAGATGTGTAATCCATGGGGCAGGCTGCCAGACTGTCAGACTCACAGCTGATCTGCGTGATTGCTAGCAGTCAGGGGTACGGTGGCATACAAGTGACACCTCTCCCACAGTCCTACTTCTCCCGCTAGTACTTGTTGTCTAACAGCTGAAGAAACTGAACTGGAGCTCATTTGAAGGCCAATGTAGACAAATTACTATCGAGGCTTCACCTCCCTCCCAACCTGTTTCCTATGCGTATGAACTTTGTCAGTACACCCCCCCATACGCAAGCATACGCATTTGGGTGAACCCCCCCTCCCCCCTCCATGCGTACGTACTAAACGGATGGCCCCTTACTTCATAGCAGACAACTGCGAGGAGCGGGGAGGCAAACGCGGGCGCGAGTGACAACCTGGAGCTGAAGGGTGCGCTTCTGAGAGACGGGGACAAGCAGCAGGGAGCCCAGCGTGAATGCGAGCTGCCCCAGCAGGGAAAACATCTTGCCGACAGCCAGGAGGTCCAGGTCGGCGAGAACAGGGCATCTGAAACGCGACATACATATGCGACTGTGACGGTGCATCTTTGCCCAGAGGGCGAGGTGCGAATAGCTGCACCTTCACACCAAATTCCACCCAACTGCCACACCATCCACTTGTGAAACCTGCCACTTGTGAAACCGTGTGACGATTATCTGAACCGGTCGTGGACTTCCCCTAGGCCGACTCGGCCTCAAATGAGTACCCGGTGCGGTGTGTAAACATCTCCAGTGGGGAAACAAAAGGTGGCCGGGCGTGGTGTTGGCCACCCACCCTCTTGTGTGCTGTTTCGGCCATAATAATTGCTCGCTAACAGCTGTTCGCGAGCACGTGTGCAGACTTACATGAGAGACTTACAGTCCTAATTGCCTTCAGACGTTTTAAAAGGCACCTAATGTGTGCAGATTATTATAATGATATTTGCTATGTATCTTTCAATCATAAATCTCCTAAATTTCGATTTAAAGCTTTCGTGACTGCAGGGATTCATCTTCTTGGTTCTTTCGGTAAAGTCACGTAGAAGGGAAGTAATACATAATAAAAATAAAACATAATAAATTATATTTTTATAATTTTATTACTTCCCTTCTACGTGACTTTACCAAAAGAACCAAGAACATAAATCTCCTCCCAACCCCCTTAATTTAAAAGCTGCTAGAGCTGCGGGTGACTTTAAACCAGCGCTCCCCCAACCCCCGGGCCGTGGACCGGTACAGGTCCGTGGCCCGGGCCGCACAGCAGGAGGTGAGCGTGAGTCCGCGCGTGGCCCGGCCATTATTTTATTTACCACTTCCGTCCGTGCCTCTTTCCCGCACTGCGCACTTGTCTCAGTCACAGTGTTGGTAAGCCCACAAGCTGCTAACCCCTAGTAGCCAACATGAGTAAAAAACAAACGTCGCTGGAGAGCTTCTTTGAAAAGGGGGAAAGACCCAATGATGAACCCCCCCCCCCCACCGATTCGTGAAAAAATTGTCTTCCACGAAACCGGTCCCTGGTGCCAAAAAGGTTTGGGACCGCTGCTTTAGACCATCTGTAAATCCAAAGTGTTATATTGCATCATCGCTTATCAACATTGTTTATAAAGTACCTGAGCAGTAACAAGAAAGAGTGATGGCAATCATCCTTTTGTTTGGGAGTCAAAGGGCAGGAAGCTGCAGGAAAGACGCACAGAGCAGGTTAAGTTGTTTAATTTATTTGAACACAATCAAAATTGCATTTAAACTTTGAAAACAAATACTTTTCACAGCAGGAAATGAAATAAATTTCAAACTTGGATCAAACGAAAACTAGCTGCCTTTGTAAAGAACTGTAAGAATGTTTGTGTATTTGCATGAAAACATTTCATTAACAGTTCAAAGTAGAAAGCAATTACAGAAATCAATCGTATCCATGACCCTTAAGCAACAATGACCAACCTTCGATCAGTGGTGTTGAGATGACAGACCTCCACGTTCTTGCAAAATTTGGAACCTAAAATATAGAAGAGAAGCAAGTTTCTTTGGACACACTCAGCAGCAGTGATAGATGAAATAAAGGCTATGCATGGAAGCTCTTTTTTATTACAACCAGTGGATAACAAGAGCCACTGTAGAGATGATGAATGAACCACATAGGGAAGCATAAATCGTTCGGTCCAAATCTATGCCCGTGTCAAACTACTTCATTAGCTCTTTTGAAAAATAATCGACTTTTGTAAACTTTCCAGGTGTGCTGAGTCAAGCTAATTACACTCAGAGGTTCAATAAAACATCTTGAATTATTGTAATGCTCAGGTGTTTCTGGCTGCGTAAAAAATTCCCTGAACAAAAAAATGTGCTACGATTTTCTAGTAAAAATAACTTTTAGAATAAGGTTCCTCCGTGATGCTTCTTTGCTGCAAGAGGCTCCAACACATATCCAGGGTGAGCTTCCTTGGCTTGAAAATATTAAAGCCCACAAGGTATAATGAACCTATAGATAAAAATGAATCTACAGCCATGATATATCCACTGCTGGATGAAGGCCTTCCCAATCTATTGCCATCCATACTCTTTGGTTTTTTCGTTAAAGTCACGTAGGTAAAAAATTAAAATAAATTAAATCACGACGTTTCGGAGGCAACACAAGCGTCCTTCTTCAGGTGGAACCGTTTTGCTGTGACGGTTCCACCTGAAGACGGAAGCTTGTGTTGCCTCCGAAACGTCGTGATTTAATTTATTTTAATTTTTTACCTAAGTGACTTTACCGAAAAAAAACAAAGAGTATGAATGCTTGCAGTCACGAAAACTTCAAATCTAGAACTATTGCCATCTGTCTTGATCTCACGATGTTCATGATCCATGTAGCTTCTGCACAGGAAATCAACGCTGCACCTCTGCAGTGGACGTTCTTCTGGGCGTGTTCCCACCTTTGGATAACACTCCATCGTTAATCTCCACCACTGGGCATCATTTATTTTGGCAACGTGCCCTCCCCAAGGCACACTTAATTTTTCAAGTCAATAAGCTGTCTCCAACTCGCCGTATATTCTCTGATCTACGTGGTCCTCCTTCCCCCCTCTCTCTCAATGTAATTCCAAGCACGCAGCCACTCCATGCAAAGGGAGCCTTATTGTGGCGAGGAAACAAGCAGGAGATCCACTCACCTGCCAGAGAGACGTGATGGGTGTGATCCTAACCAATACCACTCGCAGGTAATCGATCTGTGGATTAGATACGGATTCCAAGTACTTTGTAACACGTGACGTACAACAACCGTGCAAAACTTCAATTCAGCAGTTTGGTGGACTTGTGTAATTTTTCACCTACCAGCACAGTGACACTACAATCTATAATTGGCTTGGGGAGACAGAACAATAGCTTTTAGTGACAACGAGGGTCCCATATGCTCACACGTTTGTTTACATTAATTGTATTTATTTGGCAGCGATTGTCAACCACCAGTGTTTTGATATTAATCTTAAAATGGCAGTGTGTTGGCAACAGGGCCATTGAAGCTTGTGTAAAAATGTAATGCACTAACTTTAGTATTATACAGTACTAGATATTGAACATATACATATATATACAGTCCCTTATTGCTAATCCATTGCGGGAAGAGAGCCTGCCCACACCGTGCAGGTCGACTCAGCCTCTGGATTCATAATCAACGTTTTTGGGTTTAGATCGCGTTATTTATAAATGTGTCGTAACCCTCCACCACCCGACACGGCCAATCAGTAAAAAAGTGTCACGTTGACAAAAGACAAATAGTTCACTGCTTTAGCCCACCGGTGTGTTGAAGCGTGAAACCACAACATTTACAATTTTTGAGTAGACCGACGTTTCGCTGGTAATTGCATCCAGCATCATCGGGAAATTCGCCAGAATGGTGAGGCTCTGCTCTGTCTCCCGTTCTTATATAGAGCAGCAGCAGGGTGACGTCATCATTAACTCATCAACTCATCAGCCTCTGGAGACAAAGGCAGGCGTGGTGCTGGCCAACCACCTCCTCCGTGTGCCGTGCCAGCCTTTGTAGGTGCTCGCTCGCAGCACTTGGCCAAAATGTATGTGAAGGTTATACAGGGGATCTTTGTTTTAATTCTCCTCACCATGTTGAAGGCCAGAAGCTTCTGCAGGACTCCACTCCAGAGTTGCAGGTCGTACACTCCAAAATCCAAGCTCAGTTCGGCCACCAACCGCACAGCCTGGTGACAAGCACAATTATGCGACGCATGCGGAAGGCTGTATATGTGTGCTGAGCACGATTCATTTAACCAAAATTGCGGAGTCTCCACACATGATAGAAAACGCCGATAATGCATTGATCTCCATTGACCCAATAACCTGCCAGCTTGCTGTAGCCCCAAGGGATTATCTCCCTGGCATTTCAGCACGTGGTTTAAAAGCAAGAACAAATGTAAACAAAAAATGGGAAAATTCATTTGAACACAGGCACGCAGGAATGTAGTTTTTGTAAAGAATCGTATGAAAAGGCGGGTGAGCAATGAAGTTTATCTGTAGAACTCTCGGTGTGTGAGAAGGCAGGCATTGAATATCAGGCGTGTAAAATGTAATTTGCGGGACATCAATTGTGTGGGTTATCAGAATCGGAAGATTTATTTATACTCGAGGAATCTGATGCGCTATAAAGCTCTTTTTCACAGATGTCCAGCAAATCATGTGGAACAGCAGACATGTGGGATATCAGCTGTGTGCATCGCTTGCCCTGGGCTCGTGGTTGTGATTCTTCCAGAGCCCCTTGATCAAGCCTTCTTTGGAACTGTTGTGGAACGAGTCGACCGTGTAAGGAATGGACAGGGCTTCAAACTGGGCCAGGTACAGGTAGGAGTGCAGGTCGTATCTGTTCAGGTTATAAAACACAACCAACATCAAATATGTAAAACAAGCGGGCATCAGTCGCGAAGCGCAATTCACCACCGCTAAAGAGAGCCTGCCATTTGCTAAATAAGCCCAGGGTAGCCGCTTTAATTGGTTATAATACAACCCATGTGAATTACTGTAAAAAAATGATCTGATCCATCCTCATGAACCGGTTTGCATAGAAGACCTCCAGAAAACACATTTTAAACCACTGAGAACTATGGAAATTCAACAGAGGCACAGCAGCATTTTTTTCAGTCTTAATCCATCGTGTGGCTTTCAAACTTGGATATAGATTTTTATGCTGGCAGCCTGTGGCTCCGGAGACGCATGCGGCTCTTTAAGGACTGTTTAGTGACGATATTTATTAAGGACCACCGTTTAGTATTCCTATGCATTGCGGCTCTTGAAATGATAATAGGTTTACCCCTTTATTCTAGCAACAAAACAGGTGTTAAGATGTAAAAACACCAAACTGAAACCTTTTACAAGGAATCATGTCTCCATTAACCACAATGCCTGTGGTCAGAATGCAAACAAAAAACATACTCTGATATTATATGCATTGTCCTTGAAACTGATTGGTCCACACCAGAGACAGCTTTAGATTTGAAGCTTTCGTGACTGCAAGGATTCATATTTAGGTTTTTTCGGTAAAGTCACGTAGGTAAAACATTAAAATTAATAAAAGTAAAATAAAATAAAATTCACAACGTTTCAGAGGCAACACAAGCTTCCGTCTTCAAGTGGAACCGTCACAGCCACGACAGCTGTATCAAGTAAACGAGGAAGCTTGTGTTGCCTCCGAAACGTCGTGAATTTTATTTTATTTTTATTAATTTTAATGTTTTACCTACATGACTTTACTGAAAAAACCTAAGAATAAGAGACAGCTTTCTTTTGATCCTCGTCTTTTTGCATCCGTAAGGGACCGTGGTGATTTACAGCCAACGTGAGTTGAGCGTCGAGAATTAGAGCCGTAAACGTGGACAATTATAGCCATAAAAAAGATTGTTTAAAAATAGATATTTTTAATTTTCAATGATAGAATATAGTATTGTCATCAGTATGACACACCTATACCAAGTTTGCAGTCGATACGACATTGGGAATACGGTTGAAATTGAGTTACACGATTTTAGGATACGACAACACATACAGTAAGTTAAATAAAAGTGTGTAAAATGTAAAAAAATATGTTTGGGATTTTTTTTATGATAGAATATAGTATTGTCATCAGTATGACATAGCTATTTCAAGTTAACAGTCGACAGTACATTTGGAACTAGGTAAAAATTGAGTTACACGATTTCTTTTTTGAGGATACAACAGATGGAGTGAGTTAAATAAAAGCGTGTAAAAAGGAGCAGACCTCTAGGCCACCTCGCAGCCCAGAGGGTTTGTGGACATTTCATAAATCTATATGATCCGCCCACACTCGCTTCCAAAGTGCTGGATTACACAGGCGTGTGGGTTGTAAGGCCGTGTTCGTGACGGGCGTGGGTCGATGCTCACCGGACTTTCTCCAGAGGCTGCTTAGTGATGGACTCGATGGTGGGGGCGTCCGCTAGGCGGAGGAGGCAATGCAGCGCTCGCGCGCGCTGTCTGTAAGTCACCTTCGCGTCCGACATCGACTGCTGGAGACGCACGCACCAAAAAAAAATGTTAGCACTTCGAAACCCGTCGCGAAAGAGAGGCGCTATTATCAGTCATCAAACTAAGCTGAAAAACTTTTGATTTTACGAGGTAAGGTGCACTGAGCTATATCACTTTTTTTCACAAACGACCTGGCCACAAATGATAGCTCAACGAAGTGGCTTATCATGTGGAAATTTATAGCAGCCAAATATTCTAAGCGCATGTTTTTAAATGTGGAGGGAAAAACCTAGAGGACCCGGAGAAAAATCAACGCGACAACGGGGAGAACGTGCAAACTCCAAATACACAATCTTAATTTTGGAGCTTTCGTGACTGCAGGAATTATTCTTTGGTTCTTTCGGTAAAGTCACTTTACCGAAAGAACCAAAGAATAATCCAAATACACAGGCGTCAGGGTCGAGATCGAACCCGCGACCTCCTGCATACCAGGCGAGGCAGTTAATATCTCGCCACCGTGGCATCAGCCATGATCAATCCGCTGTTGGATGAAGGCCTCCCAAAACGTATTCACCATCTCAACGTCTTGCGCCGTAACAATCCATCTAGCACATGCATGCATGCATACAACCTAATTTCAGAGCTACATCTCTGCAGCGGACGTACTCTCAGGCGCGTTTTCCAATTTGGCTGCCTCTGTTTTTTTGACGCTATATCAATGTTTTTAATAGACTGCAGTATACAAATGACTCATATCATTATATTGCTGTATCTGTTACTTGGAATGGCAGTGTGTCCATTTGTGATGAGCAAGCGAAATACTTACGCCATTGGCAATGGTAATCAGTCCGCGGGTGCTGTAGTCCAGGGGCAGGGTTTGCAGCAAGTACATTATCCTATGCCGACACACACCAACCAATACATTCATCACCAACCAGGTTCTAGCCACTGCTTGATGAAGACCTCTCATAGCTGTTGCCAACTTCTCATGGTCTCTCTCAATCTCAACGACGCAACAATCCACATAACGCCTGCAAACAAGCTTATTTCACACTACACCAGTATTCATTTAAGGCTGAGTCAAACCTAGGGAAAGGCCATGGCAAGTTCAAATACCACTTTAAACAGGTACCAGATCCGTCGTATCGGTTAAAACAAGACTATTGGGTCGAATTCTAACAGCGTGCTCATATTGAGACTTGGCATGGCACACAATGGAGGTGGTCTGGTCAGTCATGGCCTGACCACCAGTCATCTTCACAACGCGGATGTTTACACACCTCACCGGGAACTTATTAGAAGATGGATCGACCAAGGAGTGACCCCAGAACCAATACACAGAACGCTCCAGTAGGGTGGTGGAAAGGGCTGGGGTGCACTGGCCAAATGGCACAGGGGGAGGCCAGTGGCTCAATAATTATTGATGCTATACACACGACCTCGGGCAGTATTGAGTTAATCAATTTCCAGGTCGCATTGCTCTGATTTTAAATTGCCTGCGGTGTCCTCTGTGAGGCCAAGCAATGCAATGGCCTATTACTAAGTGATAACAAGGCAACAGTAAATTTCGATTTAAAGCTTTCGTGACTGCAGGGATTCATCTTCTTGGTTCTTTCGGTAAAGTCATGTAGAAGGGAAGTAATAAAATAATACAAATAAAACATAATAAAATAAAATAATTCTCACGACGTTTCGGCTACAACGCAAGCAGCCGTCTTCTGAAGACGGCTGCTTGCGTTGTAGCCGAAACGTCGTGAGAATTATTTTATTTTATTATGTTTTATTTTTATTATTTTATTACTTCCCTTCTACGTGACTTTACCGAAAGAACCAAGAAGAAGGCAACAGTAAACATATTATACGTGTAGAGCGAGAGACAGGCAAACATACATACAGACGACAACAGACTTACAAAATAAAATAATATTTAACAGCCCTTCGTCAATCCCACACCTCCGATTAGCATGGTTGGCTACGTACGGTGAGAAAGAAGTTCAACATACATACAATCCACTGCTGAATGAAGGTCTTAATCCAGCAATTGCAAATTCCAATAACACATTTAAGTAAGTTGAACACTAAGAAAGTAGCGGATGTATTGATTAAAATGTATTATTATGTTCACGCGACATGAATCGAATGACTGCCCAGAATTTTAACCAAATTTGAGGGGGGAAAAGTCTACTCAACATTGGCTTGTCTGACATGTTTTGTCACTCGTTTGCACAGACGAGATCATATAAAATGCGCCCTACATCGTCAAATCTCAGAAGCCCAGCAGGTTCGAGCCTGGATCATGCTTGGATGGGTGATCACCATCCACAAGAGGCTGTTGTAGACTGTAGGGCTACGTGGTGGGCAGTAGCAGAGGGCAGTGCATAAAAAAAACCCTATTAATTGTTGTACCATACTTCTTTGCTACCATATCTATATACTCTATGACTTCATTAACCTGCACGGTGGTGTATGACCAAATACTCACCCGGACCCACAAGGCGTGGAGAGGCTGTGTGTGTGTGTGTGTACAGCACGCATGCAAGCATCTTGGCAAACTAGTTGAAATGTTTGATATTTTTTTTAACATTGCACGATTCTTTTTTATTTTTATGCAGGTACTCACTTTGCCAGGCTGCTGTCTGTATGAAGATCACATGGTTGCACCCCACCGTCCAGTCCCTGTGCAAATAGAAACCCATGTCCTTAAAGTAACTGGCCTATGGATCAAGGTTAATTTTATCTTTCAATAAGATCGTTGGTAACTGCGATTCAAAGCAAGGTTTAATTTAGTAATTTAAGGCAAATGCTGTTGATGCCACCACACTTCGCCTTCTTTTTGCGAGACACCGTAGCAATTGCAGTCAACCTCTGAACTACTGGTCTGAGCCTTGTTTTTTTTTACCAGGTAAGCCCCACTGAGCTATGCAGCTCTTTTTCAGAAGCTACATGGCCACAAATGATAGCTCAACTAAAGTGGCTTATCACGTGGAAATGTATAGCAGCCAAATACTCTAAAAGCACGTTGATTCTAAACGTGGAGGGAAAAACCGGAGGACCTGAAGAAAAATCCACGCGACCACGGGGAGAGAGAGACACGCAAACTCCAAACACGCAGGCGTCGGGGTCGGGATCGAACCCGCAAAATATTCCACCATCTGGGTTTTTACGTCTTCCCCTTGGTCATTGACCTCTGGGTGCCACCTCAATGCCTGCCTCACATGCACCACCCCACCCCATTGTAACCTCCGTTGTCCAATTACATCTACAACGCTTTCCTGCCACGTTCTCTTAAGACATGGTTTCCCAAACTCCAGTCCTCGCGACCCATCGCGTTACGTCTTTCCGCGCTTACCAATGTACTCCTCCCATTCATTACAAATGAACTCATTCCACGCTGCACAAGCCCAATTTTTAAACACGTCCCACGTGATTTAACGCTGTCTGCGTCACGTGGAACATGTGCACACAAAGACAAAGATCCCCCATATAGGCTTAACAGACTATTGTGGCAAGTGCTTTTAGCGAGCACCTACGATGGCCGAAACGGCACACAACATTGTGGGTGGCCAACACCACGCCCTTTGTCTCCCCAGTGGCGATGTTTGCACATGGCACCAGGTACTTATTTTAGGCTGAGTAGACCTAGGGGAGGCCCATGGTTCAGATAATCGTCATTGGTGTTGGCCATGAGTGGGAATCAAACTCAGGTAGCTGGGTTCGTAGCGCAGTACGCTAACAGCAACACCACTGCTCCCTACACACACACACGCCGAGGTCTCAATCTGAAATTCAAACGGCTCTATTAACGCAGACAGCGTTACGCGGGACAGTTGAAGAAGTATTTCAAAGGGGAGTAAAACAAATATTCTCTTCATGCACTTTGCAATTCATGTGGAGTATTTTTTAAATTAGGTGCTGGGCTATGACAGGCCCATGATGATTTCCTCTTGAGAAAGCTGTCACAGCATCTTTATTAATATGCAACCTTATGCTTTATTTGCACGTCAAATCGCTGAAATTTGGCAATATGGCTTTACCGTAATTGCAACTCCTTCATCTGCATGTTGGATCGTGCGGATGAAGTCGAATGTTGCTGATTCATCACAAACTGCTGACAAATGTGCATCATTGTTATAAAGTTGCCACTGCGCGCATTAAACAAGGATCCACAGAGCTGGCGTTTATTATTACTCCGAGAAACAGAATTTCCAATAACGTCAAATCTGTGCTTCTCACAAAGTCAGATTTACGTGACACTGGTTGCGTATTCAAACACGTTGGTCACTGTCACCCATCGGCTTCTACAGTGCGGTGGCAAGATTAAAAATTGATCGTCGCTGCAGCTTGCATGGCACACAATAGCCTTTTGTGCTGCATGTTTATCGTTGTGCGTACGTTGTTGCGCTGCTGTGTACGCATGCAGGCAAGTGTGCACGTGTGTCGAACACATTCTAATGAAGTGAGAACCAGCTTCTGCGGGGACTCATCAAAGTCTTTTGTTCACTGAAAAATAGAAGTTTTGTATTTTATCTCGATTGTGCTATCAGTCCTGTCACGAGAAAAATAATCCATGCAGATCTCTTCCAGAGCAGTGCTAACCCTCCGAGTTAGAGAACAGCACACAGCAGATATCACGTAACTACCTATGAACATCTCTCCAAGTTAACTCTGGTCCACATACTTGTGAAGCCATCTACGTGACTTTACCGAAAGACCCAAAGAATAAGGCGATGTGCTTTGGAGACTTCATCTAGAAGTGAATTTATCACGGGATATGAGGGCATATTCAGCAAAGGCACCGGGCAAACCAATTATTCATCTGCACAGCTGAAAAGAACAGTGACAAAAGAGATTGCTGAAGCAGAAACCTTCTAGAGTGTCTGCCAAGAGGTAGCTGGGTGGGTCAGGGGGCACTAACACTGTATCAAAGTGCTGAGATGGCACCACGGAGTCTGTGTTCAAATCTGAAACCTGAGTTTAAAAACCGGGTCTCACCCCAGTCACCAACGAATATACAGGAAAACAATCACATTCAATCTGGATCATTTTGGCTCTGAGAATTTAAAACTGCTATTTAGTTTTGTCGACATGCAATTAACACTCTATGCAAGTCATGAGAAAGTGCACTACTCCGTGTGGAAAAAAGGACATTTAAGTGGCATCAGAAGGTGTTCTGGGATGTCATCTTCCACGGCCCGATCTCGATAATAGTCCTGAAGAGGAAGTTCTTAATTCCATGACCATATGATACCAAAAGGCGTAATTGGAATATAACTGCAATGCCAATGCACATGCCACTTACCCACTGTTCAGATGAATCACTGGGCGGGTTCAGCCACTGCTGCAGCAGCATCACGCGAATTTTCCGTACGTCCGTCTTGTTCACCTCTCCGATCTCGTTCACCGCCGCGTGTATATCTGCGAGAGCGAGTGCATCGTTGCTTTTTAAATTCAACACGTCTTTTCTAAGAAGCGCATTGTTGCTGCGGACTAACAGGCACTCCAATTAAATTGCAATCCAAAAAGAGACACGGGACGACAAGTCAAAACGCACCAGGGTAATCGCCGAGCATGGGGTTGGCGGCACGCTCAAGGATGCTGGCGTGGTCATAGAGGCAGACGATGAGCTTGGCGGGCGTGGAGAGCATGGATAGGGTGTCGAGTGAAGACAAGCCGTGGTTATTCAGGCAGTTCTCCGTGGCCGAGCGCCGATATTGCACGGTCATCTTTTCCAGCAGCCTGCATGCATTTGCCGTGTCATTTTTGCCCTCCTCGCCCTGCGAACACAGTTGAGTAAATGTATTAATGCTCCTTATCATGATGATGATGATGGCGATTGCATTAACGAGTGCCTGGAGAGGAATGTAGCAATGATTTACTAAGTCATGATCAATTGATCACCTATTCTAAAAAACATGATTGATTAAAAAAACGAAGTCTTCAGGGAGGTTACGAATGAATTGCCATGTCATGATCGGTTTACCAGTTATACTCAAGAACATGTTGGAGGTGATAATAATATTGACAGGTGATTGGGGAGGGGACAGCAATGATGCACGAAGCTATGAACAGTTGACCAATGATTCTAAAGAATGTAGTGGTTGTGATTGATGATGGGCTACACTACATTATGATGAAAAGCAAGAGGATTTTTACAACAATAGTTCACTTCCAAACCGGGTCTCCTATTACACAACACACTGCAACTGGTCAGAGGATCAGGATTTGGTTTTAAAATGGCCTTATATCAAGTCAGACATTTTTTTAAAGCGGCACACTCTAAAACATTGTGACCAACTATTACAGCATTGTGGGATGCTGTTCGCATGAATTACGCTATATAACATAAAAGTATTATACAGGTAGGAACAACAGGTTCCACACTGCCCACCAGGGATTATCTGTCTGTCGTGCATACTACAACCTCCAACACGACTACGGTATCCAACACGGATCGAGCGAATGCGCTGCCCAACCAAGTTCCTACCTGCCCACTCCAAAGGAACGTGCTTACAGCAGACTTTCATCCAACGCACTTTAAATGTGAATTGCATGACCTTGTACTTCTGTGTAGGTCTCAGACCAGTTTTTTCTTGCTGTGGTTTTCCCACCTGATGATGATTGCTTGTGTTGCGATCGAAACGTCGTGATTTAATTAATTGTATTTTATACCTACGTGACTTTACCGAAAGAACCAAAGAGTATAGATCTTTGCAGTTACGAAAGCTTCAAATCTAGATTCAGACCAGTTGTTCCCATTTTGCAGCAGCCTAGCATTTTAATATGTACCAGGGTTGCTTTGAAAGTTTCAAAAGCCCTGAATATTGCTTTATAAATCTTGCGATGATTGGTTGTTTGAACCTGGCTACATAACATCGAATCCCAGCCATGGCTAATATCAATGGTGAGTGATATCTAAACCAGTTCTGGTTCCCCCATCTTCACATACCCACACCCGACGAGCATGGTGCAGTACGGTCAAACCACCTCCGTGACTGATTCAGCTGGCCGAGACCTTCATCCAGCAGTGGACTGATGAATGGCTGTACATTTTACCTGGACTGGGTGGGTCCCTAGGAGTGAGACAAATTTCAGGGAGCTCACCTTTGGTATGCTGCTCAGCCAGCGCTGGGCCAGTATAATGCACAGGTTGAGAACGTGAACCTTCTCCGGACCTGTAGAAACCAACCACAAGCATCCACGGTTTATTCATTTCATCCCCTTCACGATTCCACCCTCCATATTGGTGACGCTCTCAAGGGTTTAATTAGAAGGGGTTTAAAAGAGATTTGACTGGAACGGTGTTACAACGATTGGTGTGCTCCACTCTAAACCCGATCATCTAAGTTCGTTTTCCGGCCACGGCTAACATCAGTGGCGAGTGATATATCCGAACCAGTCTTTGGGCCCCCACCGCCATAGCCTGCACTGCTCAGTGTGGTAAAGTATGGTAAAAAACAACTAACAAGGCGTAGGGAGGCCGTCGACAAACAGTGGATTAGCAGAAGGGCTGTAGTGCACAAAGGGTTTCCGCACAGAATGTCCAATGCGCAGACTCACACTTAACGTTTTATTTCTAAGTCTCCCATTACACCAATGCACTGTAAAATTGTGGTTTTCAAGCCGTGGCTTTAAAATGACCCTGAATTCCACCATGACAACTTATCCTTTGTTAGCAAATTTTTTTTTTACCAGAGTGCGGATCATATAAAGATTTAATGAGGACTGCACATCCCGCTGCAATAAATGCAAAATACATTGCAGCTCATTTTTTGTGTTACTTTCTAAAATACATGTATGGATTGTGCTCATCAATTGTTCCCCAAATGTGTAGCTAGGGATATAGTAATTCATTGATTAAAGCCAACTGATTATGCCCAAGAAACTTTTTTCACAAGTAAGTAACGGCACGAGCACGAGATCGACGTAGTGGGACGACTGACGATGTCACCAGTGTAGAGTATAGTAGTGTAGTGTATTGGTGATTTCATTTAGTTTTTTATAGCTTTCCTATGAACCAGCTTAACTTCCTCCATCCACCCCCTGCATCACAAAGCTTTAGTTTGAACTCCATGCCCACCTCCCAGCCCACACCCCGCCCCCACACCCCCGCAGCTATGTAATTCCTCGTCACAGCTATCTCTTAGGCATACTTAAGCGATTGTTCTTTCACTGTGTATTGTCCCCACCTGAAGACGAACGCTTGTGTTGCGCCCGAAACGCCGTGATTTAATTTAGTTTTTTTCATTTTTTATTTACTTTATTTTATTTTTTATCTACGTGACTTTACCGAAAAAAACCAAAGAGGATGTCACCATCATCACGCGTCATCGCCGCGTCACGCGCAGGCGCCTCGCTCTGCGGCGAGTCTCCCACAATGAGGCCGCAAGCAGATTCGTAATTAAATAAAAACATGTAACGAGTGATTAATCACGTTAATTTATTCGGAATCTATTTAGCCAATTAATCATTTCAGCACTAACAAGGCATTACTGCTTCTCGTTTGCCATGTCTCATTTGTCCAGTGTTTATATGATCTGTTAGTCGAAAAAAAACATTAACATGACATCGCCTTGTAATTTTAATAAATATTAAATAATTGATGGGTGTGATAACACAAGAAAACATACACCCCACATGCAATCTTCCGGGTCATCTTATAGTAGAACTATAACTCATTTTTAAAATGTGTTTAGCATTTATACTGACATTTTTAATTGCATAAAAAAATCACATTGCCTGATATTATTTTATTCCTTTCATTTTATCCAGTGTTCCGTTTGTTTGGCGGAGCAGTGGCACAGTGGCTAGTACACTGCACAATGAAGCAACGTTCATTTTCCCCAGCCACAGCTAACATTAGTGGTGAGTGATATCTGAACCGTTCCTGGGCCCCCCCAACACCCTCACCATCTGACAAGCATTGGTGAAGTATGGTACAATAATCCCTATGAATATCTCAGCATGGGGAAGCCTTCATCCAGCTGTGGATTGTAAAAAATGGCTGTATATTAAATTATAAAAGACTTCCTTATTGCCATCTGCAAGGCAGCCAACTAGTCACAGACCTTACTTTAGTATTTTTTCTTCCTATGACGGGCAGTTACACTTATAGGGCAGAGCAAAAGGCAGGGGCACAGGAGGAAATGCACCTGATGGTAGCTCATGGGCGATGCACGAGGCAATGGCGTTAGCCCACTCAGGGTTCTGGATCGCGAGCACATAGGAGTACAGCTTCTGCACGGTATCCATCGCCTCCTTGTCGATCGTTAGGCAGGAGGAGGAGGAAGAAGCAGAAGTTCTATAGGGTGCCACCCTAGTGGCTTGTGCCCCGGCTGTGGCGGCAGCGGTGGCTTTCGTCCTCTCCAACGAACGGTGCAGGATCTTGGGTTTGAGGGACTTCTCGAAGACGTGTTTGATGGCGGACAGGTAGAGTTTGTCCAGCGGCATCTGGTTCACGGGGCATCACGCACGTAAAAAAAAACTTGAAGATCAATCGGTGAGCCTGTCGCGCATCAGTGACCGCTTGGCATCAGAAACAAAATCCTTGCCAACTCGAACTCGTTTGCGGGTTGCGCTGTGTGTAAATCTGAAAAAATAATTGCCGAAGCTCACAGCACGTGCAGTAAAAAGTTGAACATGCCGAACAGCACACGGTGCAACACAAAAAATTGATCAGAGAGCGAGACAGCACAACCACAAAAAAAACTATCTAGTGGTAGAATCCATGTCAGATTTAGTTTTTCAATGTCCAATGTAAAAATGTCAGGGTCTCTGTTGGCAGCCGGTGTGTAGTAAGAGGTTGCGGATGCTTTACCACCGTTGTAACACTGACTTTACAACTGAAGAATACACACAAAGGGGAAAGTTCAGAGCAGCAGTCCTGCTGTTAAGAGCGTCAAATTACCCACAACGTTGGTTTGTTACGTAAATTCCAGTCACAGGGCAGTGTTTGCAAATGAGACATGCAACGATTGATCCCAAACCCAGAAAATCGATTGTGACAATGTGTGGGCCCCATGATTTAATTCAAGAATAATTTCAGTTATCTAGTTTGTATTCTGCCTTGAGATGTCTGCCTTGTTCCGTCTCATTCGTTCCACTAAACTCACAAGAACAGCTGCACAATTATTTGCATGAATAGCCGTAATTAATTATATTTTACATGTATGTTTCAAAGTATGGATCGTGGATGTCAGAACAGATTTTTTTTTGTATTTAGCATTACATGCGCATTGCAAAGCAAGCAGTTCTCGAAAATTCCAGTAGGATACAGTTTGTAAGCTCATGTGTCCTAAAACATAAATGTTCACAACTATATACAATATACATAAAAGTCTAAGTTATCTCCTACCCAAATGAGCACTAAAGTGGTGATCAACTCCTGTTTACAATCCCGAGTCAGTGGATACAAATCCAGTTTCCCATGGTGGGTGCCAGCCTTTCCATAAGACAACCACTGTTGACCTTCCCTGCATGGGACTCATTTGATAGACCCCAGGGAGATGGTGGACTGAAAACCTTCAAACCAGGATTTGAACTCTCATCCCTTCAATTGCGAGCGTCTTGCTCTGCCAATGAGCTACATGTACCACAATAACGGGGATAACGGCTTTTCAGATAATTGTTGGGCTAATGCAAGGGTCGGCAACCAAAATAACAAAGGAGATCCATTCTTTATGAATTTGGTAAAAAAAAAATCAAGAGCCACAATACATGCGAATACGAGACGGTCCTTAATAAATACCGTCACGAAGCAGTTCTTATAGAGTCGCATGCGGCTCTGGAGCCACAAGGTTGCTGAACTCTGGGCTAATGTAATCAAACGGTAGGTTCACAGCACAAGTGTAACGAGCGCACAGCATGGTCTCTGTTGGAAGCGATGCATGGCTCCCGTGTTGTGATGACAGAGAATGAACTGACCTTCAGGAGCTTGGCAATGAGCACGAGGGTGGGGAGTGTGTCCTCGCTCAGCTCTGGAGCTGCAATTGTAAATCAAAACACGGTGTCGCTCTTTTTCCACCCCCCGCTTACAGCGCCCCATAAATCTTGGCAGAAATATTACCATTATTTGACAGTCGCAGCACGATGGCCAATGTTGTGGCGTTACGTTTGCAATGAAGAATAACCAATGCATAATGAACAGGCACGAAGTCCATTGTGAATATTTAATGAACAGAGGAGAAGTGCATTTCTCCATGTGAAACCAAATTTAGGTTTTATACAGCTTATGGCATTAGCCAAGCTAATGAAAGTGGGGCCTACATAGTGTATATCGTTTTCAGGCAGACTTTGTTGCAGTGAGCACTGGTGAGTACACTGTGCTGATGAGTCCTAATAAGGTTTCATCTGTGACCACTTATAAAGCACTATATCACTGTTACTATCAATCACATTTGCTCACATTTTGCGACCTAAGACAAAAGGACCATAATGCACTTCTTCAGGAAATGACAGTATTTGCATTTGCAGAGGTTGTGTGCTTATTATACATATCTGTGTTGTCTAGAACTTACTAGGATTTCCCAATAAATGTATTCGTGCAGCATTTATATGTCTTTCCCTCAATTTTATCTTTATTGTGCCATCAGTGTAATGTCATGAAACAAAGGAACCTTTCAAATCTATCAGAGCGATGTGACCCTTTGTGTTAGAGAACAGCTGTCGGAAGCAGATATCATGAAGCCAACTCTGAGATCCAATCAAGTGACTTGTTCTACACAGTAGAGGGCAGCGCATTCCCACCAAGCCACTGAGATTAATGTCTATTGCATGACGGTGAAACCAATATTTTAAATTCTCAGGAGCTGAAAGGTAGCCAAATTAAGTGCCGGTTCCTAATTTCACGTGGATGGGTTTTTCGTGCAGTCCTTGGTGATCCGACCGAGACCACTCATTACACCTGAGGACCCAGTTTTATTTTTTATCAGTGGTGGCTAAAACCCAGATGCAAACACAGGATCTCTGGGGTGCCAGCTTTGTAGTCTGACCTCTGAGCGACCCCCAGCTACCTGAGTGACCTCTGAGCCACCAGCACGGTATTTTTCATGAAGATCCCACCAGCACAATAATCCATGAATACAAGTCCAACACCAACCGGGCAGCCTCCCAGAATTCTGAGAAGCCTTGATGGCAAACATCCTTACTGATAACCGTCCAGAAGTGCTGCGGGTTGAAGGGCAGCAGGTGGAAGGGCAGGCGTGTGGCGGCGAGCGGTGCTATCTGCAGGGTCCAGCCCTGCTCCTCGAGTTTCCCGGGAGGTGAGATCCGGCGGTAGGAGTTTAGGTGCCTCAGCAGCTCCAGGGCCTGCATTTTGCCAGGAACGGTGGTGGTGCCAGGATTTGGTGGAGAAGAGGCGAGGGTGAGAGATGCAACAAGATTGTCATTGCTGGAGTCATGAGATGGGCTTTTTGAGGAATTGCATTGCATAATGCCACCGTCCATCTACAGGCAACAATCTATGTATATAAAATCGTGCATGTCTGTCTGTCTGTGTATGTGTGTGTGGATTTCGGACCATACGCACTTTCATTGGACGGCGGTTGCCCCTGGCAACGGCTAGCAACGCCTTCGCCGCTTTCATTGGACGGCGGTTGCCCCTGGCAACGAGTAGCAACTTTTCGCCGCGGGGTGGACGCCATTTTTAATAGCGCGGGGGGGGGGGGGGACCGGCACCCGTACCCAGCGTTCGCCGGGTGGGAAAATCAGGCAAGGCGGGAGGCTCTGCACGGTGCTAGGCCTCGACACCCAACACGCCACTCTGAGGTAAATTCATACAAATTTCTCGTCCTCTACAGAGTGGCGAGGGAGGCAGAGTGGCGAGGGAGGGAGAGTGGCGAGGGAGGGACTCAGCCTCAAAACGAGTAACTGGTGTGGCGTATTAACATCGCCACTGGGGAGACAAAGGCGGCCGGGCGTGGTGAATCCAAGTCCCGGGCAAAGCCGGATCATGACTATGTGTGTATGTGTTTATGTGTATGTCTGTGTGTCTGTATGTATGTATGTATGTGTCTGTATGTTTTGTGTGTATGTATGTGTGTGTATGTATGTGCGTTTTTTTGTATGTGTTTATGTATATGTCTGCGTGTCTGTATGTATGTGTGTATGTATGTGTCTGTATGTTTTGTGTGTATGCATGTGTGTGTATGTATGTGCGTTTTTTTGTATGTGTTTATGTGTATGTCTGCGTGTCTGTATGTATGTGTGTATGTACGTGTGTGGATGTGTTTGTGTGTATGTATGTGTGTGTCTATGTATGTGTGTTTATGTGTTTCTGTGTATGTATGTGTGTGTATGTATGTGTCTTATGTGTCTGTCTGTGTGTATGCATGTATGTGTGTGTGTATTGTGTATGTGTTTGTGTGTTTGTATGTGTGTGTTTGTGTGTATGTGTATGTCTGTGTGTATGTATGTGTGTATGTGTGTGTATGTGTGTATGTATGTGTGTGTTTACGCTTGCATTACACAAATGTGTTGCAGGTCTAAGGCGTTCCTCGCGCAGCATTGCCGCTTTATATTTTCAGTCGTTTACTGCCCTACGCACCCTGACAGTCGTCTGTCTGCAGCAAGCGCGTGTATGTGTACCTATGGACGCGCGCGCGTGTGTTGTGTAGGGGGAACGGTAGTGTAGTGCTTAGCGTGCTGTCTGTGTCTGTGTGTGTGTGTCTGTGTGTGTGTGTCTGTGTGTGTGCGTGTGTGGTGTGTGGGGAGCGGTAGTGTTGTGGTTAGCGTGCTGTCTGTGTGTCTGTGTGTGTGTGTGTCTGTCTGTGTGTGTCTGTGTGTGTGTCTGCGTGTGTCTATGTGTGTGTGTCTGTGTGTGTGTCTGTGCGTGTGTGGTGTGTGAGGAGCGGTGGGTGTAGTGGTTAACGCTACGCTGCGCTACCAACCCGGCGAACCCAGTTCGATTCCCGCTCACGGCCACCACCGCTGACGATTATTTGAACCTCCCCTAGGTCGACTCAGCCTCAAATGAGTAACTGGTGTGGCCTATTAACATCGCCACTGGGGAGACAAAGGCGGCTGGGCGTCAGTGGTGAGGGAGGGAGAGTGGTGAGGGAGGGAGAGTGGTGAGGGAGGGAGAGTGGTGAGGGAGGGAGAGTGGTGAGGGAGGGAGAGTGGTGAGGGAGGGAGAGTGGTGAGGGAGGGAGAGTGGTGAGGGAGGGAGAGCGGTGAAGGAGGGAGAGCGGTGAGGGAGGGAAGAGCGCTGAGGGAGGGAGAGCGCTGAGGGAGGGAGAGTGCTGAGGGAGGGAGAGTGGTGAGGGAGGGAGAGTGGTGAGGGAGGGAGAGCGGTGAGGGAGGGAGAGTGCTGAGGGAGGGAGAGTGGTGAGGGAGGGAGAGTGGTGAGGGAGGGAGAGTGGTGAGGGAGGGAGAGTGGTGAGGGAGGGAGAGTGGTGAGGGAGGGAGAGCGGTGAGGGAGGGAGAGCGGTGAGGGAGGGAGAGCGGTGAGGGAGGGAGAGCGGTGAGGGAGGGAGAGTGCTGAGGGAGGGAGAGTGGTGAGGGAGGGATAGTGGTGAGGGAGGGAGAGTGGTGAGGGAGGGAGAGTGGTGAGGGAGGGAGAGTGGTGAGGGAGGGAGAGTGCTGAGGGAGGGAGAGTGGTGAGGGAGGGAGAGTGGTGAGGGAGGGAGAGTGGTGAGGGAGGGAGAGTGGTGAGGGAGAGAGAGTGGTGAGGGAGGGAGAGTGGTGAGGGAGGGAGAGCGGTGAAGGAGGGAGAGCGGTGAGGGAGGGAGAGCGCTGAGGGAGGGAGAGCGGTGAGGGAGGGAGAGTGCTGAGGGAGGGAGAGTGGTGAGGGAGGGAGAGTGGTGAGGGAGGGAGAGTGGTGAGGGAGGGAGAGCGGTGAGGGAGGGAGAGCGGTGAGGGAGGGAGAGTGGTGAGGGAGGGAGAGCGGTGAGGGAGGGAGAGTGCTGAGGGAGGGAGAGTGGTGAGGGAGGGAGAGTGGTGAGGGAGGGAGAGTGGTGAGGAAGGGAGAGCGGTGAGGGAGGGAGAGCGGTGAGGGAGGGAGAGCGGTGAGGGAGGGAGAGTGCTGAGGGAGGGAGAGTGGTGAGGGAGGGATAGTGGTGAGGGAGGGAGAGTGGTGAGGGAGGGAGAGTGGTGAGGGAGGGAGAGTGGTGAGGGAGGGAGAGTGCTGAGGGAGGGAGAGTGGTGAGGGAGGGAGAGTGGTGAGGGAGGGAGAGTGGTGAGGGAGGGAGAGTGGTGAGGGAGGGACTCAGCCTCAAAACGAGTAACTGGTGTGGCGTATTAACATCGCCACTGGGGAGACAAAGGTGGCCGGCCGTGGTGGATACAAGTCCCGGGCGAAGCCGGGTAGTACAGCTAGTCTATCTATATTAGTCTGCTATGAATGGTCATAGTCTGGAATTAAATGTGATATGTTCTTGGGCCCCCGTTGGCAGGCCTTAGCCAGCAAAAATATTTCACACTCGATTGTGGAGAACCTAGCCATAGAATAACCCAAGGGATGATAGGCCTCCAAATTGGAAACAAACTCATAATCGCTTATTGAGAGATAAATAATATAACCATACCCACCTGGCTGTAACGTTAATATATTATTTTTTAAAATAATAAATCAGTGTTTGTACTTGTTCATGATGACGGCAAGGAATTTATTTTAACGACAGAGGTCCAGTAATAAAATCATTATAAATTAATGGTATTTTGCGGGGCATGTTTCATTTCCGCAAGTAATTCTAAACCACCTTAGATGACCATAGGACGAACTTGTAATTGGAATGAGCACAAGACAGGCAAATGGTAATCAATGAATAATGAATTTGATTTTGAAAATGAGAGACAGGATTATTAAGATCGGCAAATATTAATGCGAGGAAGCGAATGTCGAGCACATCTTGCATCTCCGATTAACACGGATGGCTACGTACGATGCGAAAGAAGTTCAATATACATGCACACATACATACATCAGTCCCACGTACCTGTTCCACGTTTATGTGCATTATGTCGGAATCTGCGACCTGCATGGCCTTGAGAATCACTTCAATGCCATTGTAGTCATATGGACTCAACTGTCGGAGGCAAAAGGGGGAACAAAACGGGATGAAAGATTACATACGAGCGAGAATTTGACCCTGCTCGGGCCATTACCAACCTACAGTGAAATACAATTGTGGGAAAAAAAGTCTGAATCCTGAACTAAAGCTTTTAGCAGAAGGGAAAACTTTTGCAATTGAGGAGTTTTCTGATTCGGTATTATAACAGTGTGTGAATACAAAAATAAGCCTTGATATATGTTTTAGCTTTAAGAGACCTTTTGAACGCTTCTAATAATATATTTTACATAAACACTATGATGCAATGAGCTGAAGTGGGCGGGTTGCTCAGGAGTTAGCACCGCTGAGATCCTGCTTTTGAATCTGGGTATCAGCCATCCGTGATTAAACCAGTGAGTTGATGGTTGCAAGCTTGATAATTGTTTTTTTTTACCCTTTTATCTGGCAACAAAACTGAGACCTTTTTTACAAGGAGTCATGTTTGCATTGACCACAATACCTGCGCCTTTTGGCGTCATCTGGTCCAACACCATGTGAGACTAGGCTCTAAAGAAAGCAGTCTCGGGTGTGGACCAATCAATTTCAAGGACAGTGCATACATTATCAGATTTATGTTATTTGTTTGCATTCCGACTGCAGGTATTGTGGTCAATACAAACATGACTCCTTGTAAAAAAGGTGTCAGTTTTGTTGCCAGATAAAAGGGTAAAAAAAACAATTATCATATTTTGTTACTGGAAAATGAGGTTCCAATGGTGGTTGCAAGCTTGTTATCAATATTACACAAAAAAAAACATTCCAACAAATGAGTGTTTTCCACTTCATTCTATAAAATATATATTTTTTTTACAGAATGTATGGGAACATGCAGTGTTAGTTGACCTACAGTTTTGGCCACCAAACCCAGCAAAAAATAACATCTCACCGACAACCAAATCACTATGTGACCAAAATCGACGGAGCCCTGAGCCTGGTTAGTCCCTTAGGTGGGCGGCTACCTGGGATAACCAGGTGTTGTAGGCTTGTTTCGTGAGGTATCGAGGAGAAGAGAGACAATGAAGATCGCAAAAGGTGGAAACCATCCGTTATAGGGATGGTACGAGATCAGGAGTCGGCAACCTGCAGCTCCGGAGCCACATGCAGCTCTTTAAATATTAAGTTGTTTACCGAATTTGAAAAAAATGGCTCTTCTTGTTATTTTAGTTGCAAGACCCCTGCACCAGATAGATTACACATTTAATCTAGGAAACGAAAAACCCGGAGAGCTGAACCTCAGCTCATCTCCATGCCTTATGCAGCTTCGCCGTCAGATTGAGCACAAAGTCGTCCTGTTTGGAGAGGCAGGGGATGACGGCGAAGGCCTTCTCAATGCGACGGGCCTGCTCGGCCTTCCTTCTCTCTTCCTCTGCCGCGTCGCCGCCTTCGTCGGCACCACGCAACGGAGGAGCAGCGGCAACCGGGACGAGGTCGCCCGACTGGCACAGCGGGAGCAGCAGCAGCGTCTCGATGTACTGCTGCAGCGCCGCATCGCTCTCCAATCCGTACTCGCTGGAACGCAAATGCACGCCCGGTTCTCAGCGCGACCCCACACTCTTTATCCGACTACTTGAGGCAACTGCGATTCACGGTTGTTTGTAAGGGAGATGTGGGGAAATGTGCGTCTAGTATGCGGTGCGCCATGCACAGCATTGCACGTGGTGTGTTATACATTGTGCAGTGTGCGAAGTATACAGCGTGCATGGCTATTGTGTGTTGTGCTGCATGGGCATGTCGTGTAAATTATGTAGCGTGTGATGTGTTGTGCTTTGCCTAGCGTGCAGTATGTCGTGTGAAGAGTGCAGCCTCAAGTTTACCTGCAGTACTGCAGAAGGAGATCAGAGTCCATATTTGGGGAGCTCACCAGAGCTGGAATGAGGTTGCCCTTGGTGGCGTGAGACATGCAGAACACGGAGTGGAACGCCACCTGTTCACATTAATCTTTTGTTAAATAAACGGGTTTTCCTTTCACATTTTGAAAGCTTAATTTTTTGGCACGCATTTCATTATCATACGTTACTTTATAGTCCTTTTTAAAATCTACTGTTGGATGAAGGCAGTTCCTAGAAGATTCTGCCGGAACTACATTCAGTTCCCGGAGAAGCTCTCAGTACATAAAGTGAAACGTCGAGACATCATGACAAACGACATTCCTTACGACCAGAAAACACATCGTAGGGCTATACGGCACAACAGCGGGAAAACCATATCCAATAAAGCTGCAAGCGCCATGCGCTGTCTCAGTGGCGGGGAGGGGGGGGGGGACACGTACCCCGAGGCGGCTGAGCTTCACTCCCCACTGCGCATCAGTGTAGAGCTCTGCAAAGCACTTGGCTTGGTCGGGGCTGCTCTGCATCTCTGCCAGCCACCCGCCAACAACGGCCATCGACTGCATCACGCAACAGCATTGGGGAAGGATCATGATCAACATTTCATGAAGGGTAGTGGCATTTCCTATCATTTCTCACCTGCTCAGAGGTATCAAGTAGACATTTAAAGTACAAGCCCCCCCCCTCCCCAATCCCCCCGCTCCGCCCCCAACCCCAGATTTTTACACATGCAATCCGATGCATGTATCGTGGCCCTCCAACATTAATATGAATCAATAAATACTTGCATCTATACACCACGAGTCGGCATGTAACAATTCAAACCCCCTCGTGACTCAATGAATTGTAAAGATTCATGGTCTCAATTTGTCTTAAGAAATGTTTTTTTCAGAAAGAGTAACCAGCAGGCATTTAACAATTAATTTAAGATCGCACTCCGTCTTCAAGATCCAGCATGGACTCGTGCTTTCCCACCCCCTCCTCTCTCATCTCACTCCTGCCCCTCCATGCACTCTCTTCTCCAGCAAACAATACCTGTCAAAGCCCCCAGAGGTATCGTTTTCTCAGTGTGTAGCAAACTCATTTCTCCTCTGCTGCCCCCATATGCGCTGTCGAATCCCTGCCCCGGTTTAAGTTCGGGCTGAAGGCCTTCCTTATTCCCCACTGCCTATGACCGACTCCCTTTCTAAATAACAAAAAAACATGCTCGCTTTTTCTGAACAGCGTCTTCAGATGCAGTTGCATTTCATCGTGACATAAACCCAAATTGTATTCTTTATTTTACTACCAGCAAGTTGCACTGCGCAAACAAAGGTGCAGTTAGGCACCAGCACTCACCAAGATGCGGGGGTAGTTATTCTGTGCGTTTTTGACAAGGGACCACAGTTTCTCGAAGGCGACATCAGGATGCAGCATGAGGCAGTAGCTCAGAGCAAGGCTCTTGTCCACAGCGCGAGAATTCAACACCTGTCGGGGGGGGGGGGGGGGGAGGGCCATGGGGGCAGGTGGGAGGAAGGAGATGAACAGCAGCGGAGGATGCAGCATTATCATTCCAGCAAAAATGATATCCAGCAAGGTTTCTCAAACTTCAGTTCTCGTGTCACACCACGGCACGCCACTTTTCCATGTTTACCACCCAAAATACAATTCAAGGCGGTACAAAGCTGCATGCATCTGATTAATGTTTAACAATAGGGAGTGCTTCTTAATCAGCACGTTATAAGTCTCCCGGGATACATACACGCAAGGTCTGGTGAAATTAAAATAAGCGCTCTCTGCACACCACGCATGTGATATACACGCACAAGATCGCTCCACCCCTTCTAATAAATATTTTTGATAAACGACTAAAGAACTACAAAAGAAAATTCAGAGACTGAAAGTATAGATCGAGATATACAACTGTTTGTAAACTAAATAACCATCCATATAAATGCAATTTTAAAATGCTAAAAATGTAACGGTTACAAACATGATAGCAAAAAAAGCCTCGCTGCAATCTCAACCTGGAGGAAAACAAAGGGTTCATCGATCTATTAGGAGCCTTTAATTCCAACAAAAGCAAACAAAAGAGCACCCCAAATCCATCACGAGTGACTACAAACCCCATGGAGGATACCAACGGCCTACCTTGTGTACGAGAGCCAAAGCAACCGGCTTGATAATATCCATCACCGTGTTGGATAACGTGAAGAGAAGCGTCTTCTGCTCGTCATACCATTGCTGGCCGTGCAGCTAAAAGCAACAATGGAGAAAATAAATACACGATTAAAATATTTTATCCAACGCTAAATGTGGTGACCACTGGTCAGATGCATGTGTGACATTAAGCCAACGTGTATTTTTTTCTCTGAATTATACTACAAGTACGATCCTGGATCATGTCATGAAATAAATACATTTTATTCGGAACTCACAACTACGATATGGTGTGCAGATATCACATTTTAACAGGGAGAGTTGCGCTGCACTGCAACAACATTTTCCTTTGTAGCAGGATAGGTGGGAAAGTGCTGTCCTCAACTGTGTGAACTCGATTAAATTTTGATTTAAAGCTTTCGTGACTGCAGGGATTCATCTTCTTGGCTCTTTCGGTAAAGTCACGTAGAAGGGAAGTAATAAAATAATAAAAATAAAACATAATAAAATAATTCTCACGACGTTTCGGCCACCTGAGGATGGCTACTTGCGTTGTGGCCGAAACGTCGTGAGAATTATTTTATTATGTTTTATTTTTATTATTTTATTACTTCCCTTCTACGTGACTTTACCGAAAGAACCAAGAAGATGTGTGAACTCGAGCTAATCTGAAGAGACCTCAGTGGTGGATCTTTGGTACCCACTTTCATGGGCCATTTTTATGCATGAAGGGTTGCACGCTGCTCTGCAGTTCTGAACGGACACTTCGGTGCATGACATAGCACCACTAGCACCACCAGGACAACGTAAAATTGTGGTAAAAAGTAACACTTTTTATAAACAATGACATCAAGTATCACCAGATCCGACGCTCCAGTTACCCCACCGACATTCTCCTCGGCCTGAAATAAAAGCAACGTGCGCCTACCCCAGTGGCGATCGCTTTGCTGACGATGTTGGTGAAGATGTGCTGGTGGCACGCGGCGAAGAGGCGTAACACAGCCATGAGGGCGAGCTGCAGCTGGCTGGCCTCACGCAGGCTGTGCAGCAGGGCCACCAGAGGCGTGTACACCTGCATCACCTCGCTCGTTTCTGCACCGGACTTCCGCGATAACCCTGCGTGTGCCACCGCGAAAGGGAGAGCATCCACGAGTGATGGTGGTGACGCAAAGCCTTAGCTGCCAATCGGAATCTCTATAAATGTTTAAAATCGAGCCTTACAAAAATGTGTGATGCAGAGGTCGCAAACGGGTACCCGATACCCGTACCCTAACCGATACCCGGCAACCCGTACCCGGCCGGGTACGGGTACGGGTACCCGTTTGCGACCCTGGTGCGGCCGGGTACGGGTACGGCGACGGGTAGGCCGTGAGTCACTGGTGAATAACCGTTTGTCACTCATTTCCCAACGTCTTGTCTCTTCTCACAATTCAAGTTCCTAGAATCAACCCACCCGCGCCTGCAACATGGCTTCATCCCAAAGGTCGCAATCGGGTACCCGATACCCGTACCCTACCCGATACCCAGCTACCCGTACCCAGCCGGGTACGGGTACGGGTACCCGTTTGCGACCCTGGTGCGGCCGGGTACGGGTACGGCGATGGGTAGGCCGTGAGTCACTGGTGAGTAACCGTTTGTCACTCATTTCCCAACGTCTTGTCTCTTCTCACAATTCAAGTTCCTAGAATCAACCCACCCGCGCCTGCAACATGGCTTCATCCCAGAGGTCGCAATCGGGTACCCGATACCCGTACCCTACCCGATACCCGGCTACCCGTACCCGGCCGGGTATCGGGTACCCGTACCCGGCCGGGTACGGATACCAGTTTGCGACCCTGGTGCGGCCGGGTACGGGTAAGGAATCAAAACCCGTTTGCGACCTCTGGTGTGGTGGCGGCTAAACAGGGAAAAATTATCGCCGTGCTGTTAGGCTGTGCTACCGCTTTTCAAGATAATGGGGATTATCATTGACTGTGGAAGTTATTTGCTTCAAAGTACACGTGCATTTTTTCCTTTTGTTTGGCATTATGTTTAGTAGGCAAGTATAAATAAATGTTCTCATCCAGCAGTGGATTGACAAAGCATTATGTGTACCTTCAGATCTCAGGGCAAGAGCCGTGCAATCCAGAGGGAACCGTTTTCCTGCAATGTCACGAGCACACAAGCCACAGAAACGAGTCATTTTAAATCCTTTATATTAAGTTCGCTTGCTTGCTTGCTTAGGACCGTGCAAATCTTTCGGTCGTTTTTTAACCCACTTCCCGTCATCCAATCGAGCTGACATTTTGCACACAGACTCGTTGTGCGTGACACTGCATTTTCGTGAAATTTTTTCTCCAAAAATGTACACTGTTTAGGGAAAAAAAAAACATTTATTTACCAATTGGTTAATGCTGGCACACAATCATCTGACCCATAGGTGGCAGCCATCTCAAGCCAGAGGACGAGAGGACTCTAGCCGCCACGCATATAAAGGATTTATAGTGACAAAACTTTGTTTTTACGGGTTATACTTGTTAAAGGATGACAAGAGGGAAGAGACGCAAGACCCATAGCATTTACCATGTGAAGATGAATACGTTAATTTTTGGCCACTCAAGGGTGACAATGCAAATTAGTTCACAATTTGGTAGCAGGGTGAAGTACAGCTAACAGGATTTATTGATTTATTGTTAGTAATGTCCAAAAGCTGCCAAGAAGTGCAGCGAGACAGGCATTACGGCCAAGCCAGTGGTTTTTTGGCCCCCCATGTTGAATTTTGTTTCAACCGAGTATCCCCATGCTTGACCACACAAGGTTCTGAAAAATAAATGTATGAATAATAAACATCAATATATTAACCAATTGTCCCTTTTGTTAGGTATCCTAACTAGCTCATAAATGCAAGCGAAAAAAACATTTAACGGATGCTCTACATGCATAACATCATTTGTTCACACTCGCTGGTTACTCTTGGAAACCACATTGTTTACGATCAATAAGTTTAGAAATACATTTTTGCATCGTTCTCGGCGGCCATATGGATTTAAAGTCTATCATAGTTATTTTACATTGGCAGATTCTTACGTCATTATATAAGTATCCACCAATGACTCATGCATGATATAATTTGGAAAAGGGGCACCGCAGTGGCGAGATGTTAACTACCTCGCCTGGTATACAGAAGGTCGTGGGTTCAATCCCGACCCTGATGATGCCCGTATACTTGGAGTTTGCATGTTCTCCCTGTGGTCGCGTGGATTTTTCTCCAGGTACTCCAGTTTTCCCCTCTACATTTACAAACATGTGTTTCGAATATTTGGCTGTTATAAATTTCCCCACAAGAAGCCACTTCGTTGAGCTATCATTTGTGGCCAGGTCGCTTCTAAAAAAAAATTACACATTTAGAGATCACCTCACGTATCCCCAAGGTGGTCCGCGTACCACCTCCCCCCACCTGGTTGAGAAGCACCGAGTTAAGCCATCGGCACGAACCGTGTTTGCGCGGGCCAACGAGGGCGGTGAGCTCGTAGACAACCGGGAGCGTCTGCACGGGATCGAGCACGATGCCATCCTCACGGAAGTACTCTTCGAACGTCCACTCCTGGTAGGGATCCTTGTCCGCACCAGCCGAGTCCTGCCATGTGCGCATGCACATTAGAGTAGGGCAATGATTTAAGAAGTAACGGAAAATGCATTATTACCTTAGATTTGATTATTTCCTTGAATATATGTTTATTACCTTGTACGTAAGTATGTTTAACTTCTTTCACACCCTACGTAGCCAACCATGCAAATTGGAGGTCCGAATGCATGGCTAATTACTGGATGTAAGGAAGTACATTTATAACTGTTATACACATAGGTTATCACGAGTGCGCAGATGAAGGCCTCTGCACATTGTGGCAGTCATGGGAGTTGTTTTTATCACACTTCACCAAGCTTGGTCAATGCAGGCTGGTGAAGGGTGACCCGTGACTGATACTGATATAGAAATCAGCAGTGATGTTAGTCATGGCTGGAAATTAAACTCAGGCTTTAGGGACGGTTCGGCCACAATTACAGAACGCGACTCTCATGTTTGAGATGGTGCTCTGTTGGACCAGACTGATAATTAATCGTGAGAACACGCGTAACCAAATGTAAGGGGTTTTGCTTAGGCATTGATGATCAGAATCAGACCATCAATGCTCTACACTTGAAAACTCTGTTTAAATCACAAGAAACTGATCAGACTTCATCGCAGGGTCTCGGCTCAGTGTGGGGCCACCCAGCCACCTCAAAATCCCCAGTTAATTTACCAGCCTATTGACTGTTTATGAATGGACTACATATTATTAACACTCCTTCCCTTTATTAATGCTACCCCTACCCCCTCCCTTTGATGCTGAATTAGTACTATTCACATACCTGCATTTCCCATATCCTCTCCCTTTGATGCTGTTAATCCTGCATAATGCACATGCATATGTAGTACTAATCACATTCCTGCATTTCCCATAAATATGCTAAATTCCTCTTGATATGCAAATTCCTTTGTCAAGGCGCCCAGCTTATATATATGCTCCAAGCTCGTGTGCTGTTTCATTCAGACGCTGTCGCCTCGACAGACCTGGTTTCACCTGAGGACGGCTGCTTGCGTTGTGGCCGAAACGTCGTGAGAATTATTTTATTATGTTTTATTTTTATTATTTTATTACTTCCCTTCTACGTGACTTTACCGAAAGAACCAAGAAGAAAAATGGACTACATATGAAAGAGACTGAAAAGGAAGGTGTTGGCGGAACCTTGGCCACAAAGCCGTAGTCTTCAGTCTGGCACTGCTCGTAAATGGCCAAGGCGACGCGCGTGTTCTTGCTCAACTCCAGACAATCGAGCAGGATGTCTAGGGGCACACGAGAAGGCAGGCAGGGGTACATTGATGTAATGATTGCAACAGCAACAACAACTTGTAACGAGTTAAAATACAATAGCATCTCAAGCTCCTTATAAAAATGGAAGGGAAAAAAAGCAAAGCGATAAGGGTACAAGGGAGGTGGGGGACAACCAGGGTAGGGATTTGTGGGAAAGAGGTCAGAGAGCAACACCGTGGTGAGACCAACGAGTCCCAGGACATCCCTGGTGGGGGGGGGGGGCCTCTTCTATACACACGAATAAATTAACTACCGCACGTGTGTAATTTCGTCAAATTAAACGTAATGTTATTACTTCACGTACCATTTGATGCATGCGTCATTCAGTGTAAAAATCGGTTTAAATCGACAACATAAATGCGTCATTGCATCCCTTTGCATACCACGTTTTTTTTTCTTCTCCCAATTGAAGCTGGTTAATGGAGCCCTCAACGGTTACATTCGTAAGGGTTTGACAAGACTGGCGACGCACCGGGGTGGCAGTATGCGGTGGCGAACTGGCAGAGCGTGTGCATCTCGGCGGGCAGGTTGAGCGTGGGTGGCACCTCCATGTGCTCATCATTCTCCAGCCTCGTGGATAGTTGCTGCACCACCCAGAACGCCAACTCGGCCGACGCGTGAGGGCTCAGAGCACCGTCGAGCTCCCCCCTGAGCGGCGGGCGCAAAGAGAACAGCGCACGCCGTGGGATCACACCGAGGCTCGACTAAACAGCGCCGAGTCTGGATAGTTGCTTGGACGGGTGACCACCGTGCATAATACAGATTTGTTGCCAACGGGTTACGTGGCGGGCAGGGCAGCAAAATACAATTGTTGTAGCTTGCTCCAATGTCTATTCCCAGCCATGGTTAAACATGGGCGGTGAATGCTATTTCAACTGGCTGTGGGTCCTCACCTTCACAAACCTGCGTAGTGAAGTATGGTCAAATAACCCCAAGACCTGCAAGTGAGGGGAGGCCCTCATCCAGCAGAAACCACAAAGCACGCGTATGTACGGTTGGTTGAGTGTGCAGTCAGCCCCACCGAGTCCACTGTACTGTATTTTTCTCCAACCTTCTCTCACCTGCAGATGTCGATGGCCTTCTGGACCTTTCCGGTGGACAGCGCGTGCCCAGCGAGCCCGCGAGCAAGGTCATGCCGCCCGACCCCGAGCAGCGCGGCCAACTCATGCAGCTCCACCATGTTCTGGGGGCAGCGCTCGGACGCCTCGCTGCCCTCGCCCCCCTCGCTGACGCCGCGGCAGCTCACCACACTGAGCTTCGCTGCACTCTTAACGCACAGCGATGACATTACGTACAGAATGATCATGTGTGCTTTATGGGAGAAAGCAGGGCAATTATACTGCTGTGCCACTGTCAAAAAAAAATATCCGGTCAAAGTTGGACCATGACCAAAACATCTGGCATGCGCCTAATCTCAGAAACCAAACAAATTTGAGCCTGGAAAGTGCTTGCATGGGCGACTACCATGCACGCCAGGTTGTTACACTCTGCTAAGAGGATGTATAGTTTGCAGAAGGCAGTGCTAAAAATCCATGATTGTACTGCAATTTCTATGCTCCCATGTATACGTTTCCCGCCTTCACAGACCATGACCCACATTGCGTGGGGAGGCCCACATTCAGCGGTTTTCTGCTAAGAGGGCTGCACATGTACATATGAAGCTGGCATAAGCGGTAGCACAGTGGATGGTGCACTTCAGTACGAACTCGGTCACCCTTTGAGAATAGGTTTCCCCCTTTTTTCTAGGCAACAAAACAGTTGTTAAGATGTTAAAACACCAAACTGAAACCTTTTACAAGGAATCATGTCTGCATTAACCACAATACTTGTGGTCGGAATGCAAACAAAAAACATTCCTTGTAAAAGGTTTCAGTTTGTTGTTTTAACATCTCAACACCTGTTTTGTTGCCAAAAAAAAGGGGAAAACCTATTGTCATATTTTGGTACTGGCAAAGGAGGTCCCATGATCGGTCACCCTAGTTAGATTTCCCACCACAGCTAACATCAGTGGCAAGTGATATCCAAACAGCTTCTGGTCATCCCATTCACCAATCCGCACTAACCAGCACGACGAAGCATGGTCAAAATACCACGTTCTCCGGACCGTGATTCGCACCCCAAACGTGTACCTGGTGTCAATAAAGTTATACAAAACTGAGCACACGCCTACCACTTTTGCTTGAAAGTACAGGTAAAAAAGTTGCATCTTATAACGCACAGAAGACGGTAACTCCCTTGAAAAGCACGGCATGGGGAGGCCCCTCATCCAGCAGTGGATTAACAACATGGGGACGTACATGCACATGGTGGCGAGATGTTAGCTACCTCGCCTGGTGGATAGGAGGTCGTGGGTGTAATCCCAACCCTCACGCCTGTATATTTGTAATTTACATGTTCTTCACGTGGTCACGTGGATTTTTCTCTAGGTCCTCCGATTTTCCCTCCACATTTAGAGTATTTGGCTGCGATAAATTTCCACATGATAAGCCACTTCGTTGAGCTATCATTTGCGGCCAGGTCGCTTCTGAAAAAGAGCTATATAGCTCAGTGGGCCTTACCTGGTGTAAAAATAATATATAATAAATAGATGGGGCAGTGAAACCTGCGGGGCCTGCGGTGGGCCGCGAGTGGGGCCGTCGCTGGGGAGGTCGTCACTCTCGGTGGTGAACGCGGCAGAGAAGTGCGCCAGCAGGGTAGAGTGGCCAGCGCTGCACTCGTACTCCTCGCACGACAGGTAAATGCCAAACTTGTGCTGCGGACGGATTTTACGCACAATTGTTGGACAACGTTAAAATAATATCGCAACATTTTTCAGACATTCAGAAAACTAAAATCAAAAATGTTTGGAAGCTGTCATTGGTTACTGCAGCATCACCATCACTTTTACATGATTCGTATGATGATAATAATCATCACTCATTTTAACGACTGGTAATACCATTTTCATCACGGATTCTGCATTATTAACTTCAATCATCATCATCACCACCATTATTAGTACGGTTGGCTACGTACCTCCGATTAGCACGGTTGGGTAAGTAATGTGTGAAAGAAGTTATTCGTACGTACATACAGATGAACTAAGTCTGCAGCATTATACAACACGCACATGGGACTCTTACAAAAGTCATACATAAATCCCACATCACACTTACCTGCAATTTATAAATGGACTGGAAAGTGTTTAAATTCACGTTGAGCTCTTTCAGTTTGAAGACGTTTTCTGCAGCAGAAAGAAATAACCACATTTAGTATGCACGCAACAATCCATTCATTCCGATGCTCCCTCTACACGCATTGACTCATGAGTATAAGAATTGACTCCTTAAGATTTATTTTAAAAATTATGCATATGTTACATTTGGGTTAAAGAAATTAATGAAAAAAAAATGGCACATACGAGGAAGACAACACTGACAAGACAGTGCAAACAGGACCAACGAATAATCACACTGTGACCTCAATTCGTAATCATTCATAGAATATCAGGTAAAGGAGGTTGCATAATTAGATACCTCAGCATTTATCAGTACAATGCTGGCAGAATTCAAATTGTAATTGCGTACCGACCTGTATGTAAAATAAGGAACTTGAGAATCGGGATGCAGTACTCGGTTAGCTTCTTCAGCTTAGCCTTCCCCTGAATAAGAAACCACACGGCACAGCGAACTGTCAGGATTGGTCCAGAACTACAACCACAGATGACAAGTATGACTCTGAACCAATGGGTTATCATATGCAAGCACACAAGTATGTTAATGAGTACATACAATAAATAATACACTTTAGAATAATAATGCACTTTATTTATCCATGAGTGTATCACCAAGTCTCAAGACTCTTTCAGGAAAGTCATGCGTTGGGACATTTAATACATTCTATGAATGAGAGTTTGGCTTCATCTGGGAGGAAACTGGAGTACTTGGAGAGAAACCCACCGTGCATATGAGGTGGCGACACTCAAATATACACATATGGATTCACTAATCCATTTGTAGTGACATCGTGTGGAGTGCCGGCCTTAGAGAAGCACGGCGTGCGATGTATTTACATCGCGGACATCACGTATGTAGCGACATCGTGGATGTGACTGGGTAATGCCGGCTCTTGCGAGGCACGGTGTGCGATGTATTGCCATCCCGGACACCCCGTATATGTGGGTGTAGTACCAGCCCTAGAGGGGCTCGGTGAGCGCTGAGTCATGGCACTGAGTGGACACCACACGTGACTAGCAGTGCCGACCCCTACAGGATGGGGTGTGAGATTATCAGCCATGAAATGGGGTTACTACAGGCCATGACACTCTGGTTGACACTGGAAGGTACGTGACGGGTAAGATCTACACAGGGGCCCCAAGTGGGGGCAAGGGGTGGTCACGTGTCGGGGCGAGATCCTACTAGAGGATTCGAGAAGGTGGTCGTGGCCAAAGGCAGGGCCAGCCACGACCAGTGAGGATCTAAACCGGGTCCCCCGAGGAACCGGGGTTCAGCGTTGCTGTTGTTATCCTGAAGATTGACATTCTACGTTCTACGTCCGAGAAGAGACACCAACACGTGGACCGGGACCCAAGCCGGGTCCGGTCCGTAGTCGCTACTCCCAGTGTAATTAGTGTAGTTAGCCTGGTGGTCCACCACCATAGGTTGTTGTTACCTGGTAAAGGGGCAGTTACCCCTTTTTGTTGGTATCAATAAATGTGTTGCCTCCAAAGAGTACGTCTGCGACTCAGTTGAATCCACTAGATATTGATGCCCTACGAGCTCCTGGCCACCACGCAGCCCAAACTCCAAACACCCGATGTCATCATTGCAAAGTCGGCGAACCGAGTTCAATTCGGCCAAGGCTAACATCAGTGGAGTGTGGTATCTGAACACATCTGGGCGTCTCTCCTTCATGAAACAACAACAGAACGGCGTGGTGAAGTCTAGTCAGACAAATCTCTTCCACCGCAATGGAAGAGCGAAGCCTTCATCCAGCAGTGGTTAGACAATGGGCTGCAATCGATCGTCAATCGTGTATGGCACCTCGTGTGTCCGGTTGAAGGGACTCTGCAACTCGAGTTCGACTCTTTGCAAAAGCCGTTGCCCGGTCACCATCGCATCGTCCAACGGCAGAGATTGTAGCAACTCCACACATTCTTCCATCTGCCCAAAAAAAAAGAGTCTGTGCTTAACTAGGCATGAGTTATACGATTGTTATTATTGTTGTAAAGTGACCTGGGATTTTCTGCATGAAGGGTGCTATGCAATAGCAAATTGTATTGTGTGACTGGATTTATTTGACCCCACAGCAATCTGATGTCAGAACTCAGACTTGTGATTTGATTTAACGATCGCTTGTTTTTACTGTCTCGCTTGTATTTTTATATATTTTTGTGCAACTATTATCTTAAATGTAACATCAGCATATAATTCGCATAAATTGTAAATAGCCAATTCACACATGCACAATTACATGGATGCAATGCAAAGGTGATATTTATCACCGATAAATCAATTCATCATCACATGCTTTGCTTTTAACAAATCTTCAGATTTATTCAAACTTTATATTTAAATCGTGTGTAATTAGTACATTCCAGCAAGCTTATCATTTCTTTTGAAACTAATATTTGTCGATGCGCAACTTTACATTCAGAATAAAAAGCATTAGAACATTACACGTGCAGCCATTCAATTAATCTGCTTGGGCAGACACAGACAGCTGGGAAACCGGCTAATGCTTCCGAGTAGTTTGTGCCACGGTAATCTCACCCGGTCTGAGACGAGCAGTTGGTGGGCACGACGGAGATAGGTCTGCCCCAAGGGCAGCATGTACGCCTTGGTCACCTTGAGGGCATCCTCGAATGACAAGGGCAAGTCTTGACGCAGTATGCATCGCACTAGCGTCTGAAAAGGAGATCGCCAGGTGTTTCATTTTGCTGAAAGACCACACTTGTCATTTTATATATACGAGCAGGAAACATCCGGCGTTGCCCGGGTACTTTTGTGAATGTTTCTCTCGCACGGAAAGATCGGCGTGGTCACGGAGGTTGACTCTTAATTGGAATCACCAACGGGTTTTTTGGTGATGCAATCAACGGCAATTTTAGATTAACTTCATAAGGAGGGGTCATTATGTAACTGTTAGATGTGTTGGGCCAGGTTAATACGTGCTGGGTTAGGGTTGGTGACGTTACTGGGAGCGTGTGGGGTGCCGTTTGGGGGGCTCTGGGCCCCCCTATATAAAATGTCAGCTCGCCATGTCGCCAAGGTTTTCCGCGGGGTTTTAAAAAGTAACCCTGCCAAGTTTGGTGGCGATAGCTTTAACGATGTGGATTTGTATTCGGAACAGACTTTCATTTTTTATTTATATACATATTTATTAAAAAATAATTTAGTTATTGTCTCTTTCAGGTGTATTACTTCATTATTCTGGTTTGGCATCTTCCAGCCTTTGCTAAGGATTTATCTTAGTTGTACAAGATTGTGTCCGATATTTCCTGACATCTGTAATGTAATGCAACTATGTAATCTTAAAAACACCCAGGGTGCTCTAAAAAAGTTATATACGCAATGCAGATATGACTCTGTGTAACTTAGTTGGGATAAATAAATTAGGTAAATGTTATTTCATTAATTTTAACCTTAGTTTCGTAGCTGAACTACACATCAATGTGCATACTTTAGGGCGGGGAGCACTTTTTAAACTTTCCAACCATAGTTGATAGGACTTTTCTTCCGTGCTCTTAGGGACTTCCCCTTTTGACAACAGGTAAAATGTATCAAAGGTTTGCCTTAAAACAAAAAAACGATTTACACTTTGGCTTTCATCATAATAATCTATTACTTTCAAAGACAAACTTATGTTGAAATGTGTTACATATTCTACACATATGCATAATATTTTACTGACATTAAAGAGGGATAATAACAGCGGTGAGGGAGATAATGGAATTGACTCACATCAGCTTGTTTGTCGTTGGACAGGTTGAAGTTGCGAATGCCATATCTGCGCAGAAGCATCTTCATCTCCATCATCCGGTAGCTGTCCTGCAAAAGCTTCACCCTGTGAGATGGGACAGCCAACAAACAGCTACAGGAGATGGCATCACGAACTTCCCATGTGAGATCACACAGTGCTAAGAGTTGTCTGACCGTGTCGACAAAAAATAATATATAATACATTTACCCTCACCGAGTCTCATGACTCAGTGTCATGGCAGAGTCCTGCTTTGGGATATTTGGTCATCTGCATTTTTAAAGAGTGTTCTGTGTGTGCAAATAAACTGGAGCACCCAAGAGAAAATGCATCCTGCATACAATAGGAAAATACTCAAAAGGTCTGCACATTTGGATTTGCTGTACTACCATCTCCTGGTCACAATCTATGCGATCCACAATATTCAACTTCAAGTGTGCATTACAAGTGTGCGCAACCATGCCCAGCTCATAATTACAACCATAATTGTACAGAGCTACGGGTAAACATCTCTGAAATTCAGAGACGACAGCCCTCATGCTAGACAGCTACACACACGTTCAAACGTAACGTTTGTTTCACTTTCACCAAAAGAAATAAGATTTAAAAGGGTCTTTCAGGCTGCATGATCCTACATGGAAAAGAGATGACAGGCATGTAACAATTCATCGATAAAAATACGTTCTTACGCTCACGACACATGGTGTACATGTGAGCATCAGATATTCACGATGAACACAATGGATATGCTTATGTTGCATTCATCATAACACCACAAAGAAATAGAAAGTAATTATAAAAAAACAGACAGAGCAACAATAAGGTAATTCAAATGAGGCAAGAACAAAAAAACACTATTCTTGAATCACATCGCAATGCTGAGATGTGAAATTTTGTAGAATAGCTGGAAGGGTGAATCTTTAAATGTTATGTTACATAATCATTACTTTAATCTCAATCAGAGATCCTCACTGCATTTCAGTGGTAGGGAGATACCAAGTCGACACCGTAAGAGGGGGGGGGGAGGGTGCCCAAGTGAAGTGCATGGGGGCTTCAGAGCTAGCACACACTTGGGATGATGCATTTGCATGTGCTCCTGCACCAGCTGCTGCACAGCCTGGCTCCAGGGCACCACCGCCTTGTACATGATTTGCAGCACTGCGTCAAAGATCAACTGTACACACAAAGCAAAAATCATGCAATAGCTGTGGTAACATTGCATTATCATCATCATCATCCATAATATATCAACTGCTGGATGAAGGTCACCCAAAAGCTGTCACACCATCTCACTCCATTTCCACAGTAGATTTAGAAAAAAAGATATATATAAACTTTTAAATTACAAATATATGACATTAAACAGATGGTAACATTACCATGGGCTGGGATTGCCACATTTTAAAATAAAAATGTTACATTCTTGAACAACCCACTATTATCATTCATGACACAAATTACACAACTGCACAGGCAATGCAGACAATACTTACTGAACCATGCAACATGCTGCCAGACAAGAAGTAATAGTCACGTTTTATCCCACAGGCAGCTACCACTTTATCAGGTTTCAAGTACACATCTATATTTATATTGATAGGCTTTGCGATTAGAAGATGCACTGTGGAAATCTTGTTATCAAACACAATATGAGCGCTGCTCAGAACTGGCTACACAGCCTAATTGGAAATTTCACAGTGACCGCATGCTCGTTAATATCCATGAAGGCGTGTATGCGCATAGCTTCATGTGCTTCCCCGAGAATATTAACGACAGTGCATTTATTTCAGTGGCGGTGGCCAATGCTTGAGGTGGCAAAATAAGGTACAATTACACAAAATAATTAATATTCTTTGGGGGTTTTTTCGGTACAGTCACGTAGGTAAAAAATAAAATAAATGAAAACTCAATCAAAATACGACGTTTCGGGCGCAACACAAGCGTCCTTCTTCAGGTGGGGACAACGTAGCGAAAGCACAACCGCTTACATGTGTCTAAGAGATGGCTGTGAAGAAGGACGCTTGTGTTGCACCCGAAACGTCGTGATTTAATTTAGTTGTTTTCATTTATTTTATTTTATTTTTTACCTACGTGACTTTACCGAAAAAAAAAAAAAGAGTATGAATCCTTGCAGTCATGAAAGCTTCAAATCTAGAAAGAAGAATCAATGTGTACCAGTTTGATTGGCTACCTTGTTTGATTAACCTTTTCTTCATGTGCTTCATAACAACGGGTCGGCAACCGAGGTGGATCAACACGCGTTTGACTCGGCAACTGTTTGCTGCGACTTTCACGCAAAGGGGAGCCGAGTGGATACTCACATCAGTGTCGGACATGCAGGCCACCACAGCCATGGCCTTTGCCTCCCAAGCTGTCTCGAACAATGACATGGAGCGGCTGCTGCAGCGCTCCAGCAGGTCCTGGAAGCAGCACAGGCACAGACATCAGCGCCCCGTCTCGCAACTCAAACGAGCCCGACCATCCCTGCTGTACAGATGATATGCACACTTTACAGTGGTTACGTCTGTCTGTTAAGATACTTATTTGGGGTTATAAAGCAGTATTTATTTAATATTGCGGAGACGTTATTTTCTCTGGTCCGTGCTCGTAAAACAAAAAGCTATACAAAGGCTACCATTTTAATATGCATTCCCAAAAGTAACAATAATCACATAACCTTGAGGGATTTAATAAAAGTGTAGTGGGTTCAACTGAGTTGCAGACGTACTTCTTGGCCATGACCACCTTCGAGAAACCTCTTGTCATTTCTCGATCCTTCCCGTCAGATCTTACCCTGACACGTGACCACCCCCAAGCCTCCACCTGGGGTCCTTGTGTAGATCTTACTGGTCACGTGACTTCCAGGGTCAACCAGTGCCATGGCATAGGGTAACCTCATCCCATGGCTGACACTCTCACACTCCCTCCTGTAGGAGTCAGCACTGCACGCCACGCGTGGTGCCACTGAGCACTATCCCAGCGCTCACCGAGCCCCCTCTAGGGCTGGTACTACACCCACATACGGGGTGTCCGCGATGACGATGCATCGCACGCCATGCCTCGCTAGAGCCGGCATTACACAGTGACATACACGATGTCGCTACATATACGTGATGTCCGCGATGTGAGTACATCGCACGCCGTGCCCCTCTAGGGCCGGCGCCACACAGTGACATCCGCGATGTCATAACACATGTATGAACAGATCTTGACTTAAATCTGACTTAAATCTTTCGTGACTGCAGGAATTCATATTCTTTGGGTCTTTCGGTAAAGTCACGTAGATAGAAAAACAATTATAATAAAAAAATAAAGTGAATAATACAAATAAAATAAAAATTATAAAAAACAAAAAAACACTAATGTAGACTGTAGCCTGGTTCTTAATCGGAGTGAGTGTACTGGCAGTCTATAATGTAGACTGTGGCCTGGTTATTAATCAGTTTAAGTCATAACTAGCTGTGATGTCTCCATCTTGCCACCTTCCGATGTTAGTTTTATTTTACTAAAGATGGGACGAGCAATTCCAGTTTCTGCGGTGTCGCCCCTGCATTGGGCGTACCACAAGTTGTTTGCGTCGACCTTTTTCTTGATTCTCCGATTTCACATTAACATGACGAAGTGGGAGGGGCACATGTGCCCCTCCCACTTCGTTCTAATACCAGGACGCTTGGGCTATGCCCATTTTAAACCTTTAAAACAGCTTGCCTTTAGTGGCTTCCCCCCCCCCCCTTTCCACTTGATGATGGTCGCTTGTGTTGCGATGGAAACGCCATAGTTTTTTTGTTTATTTTATTATTTTTTCAACCTATCTACGTGACTTTACCGAGAGTGTCAGCCATGGGATGAGGTTACTCTAGGCCATGGCACCATTACAACACTACAAACTCCCTAATGCCCACGTGAACCACCAACCCCAGCGGGCCACGCTCACCTTGATGTAGTGCACGAGCAGGCTGTCGTACGCCAGGCCACGCTCCTGCAGGTAGGGCCGTACCACGCGCTCCAACGTGGGCGCCACGAGCTGCGGCGCTGCCACTTGGTCGAGCATGCGGAAAACGATTGTCGTGCGCGTCTCCTGCATGCCGGGATCATCGTGGTGCCGATTATGAAAAATCACATATATGCACGAAAATAGTCATTTATGAAAGGTCTATTGTCCGAAGAGCTGTGCGACTCAATAATCAACTTGGCTGGTTTTGTCTCGGGTTAAGTCTCCAAGAACAACAAACCTTCATAAAAAAAGGTTTTGTTAATATTGAATTATCTTTAAGAGAGATGTTTTGGACACCTTGTTACAGATAGATGGACCAGCGGACAAAGGTAAAGCATGAACGCTTTCAACCTACGTTGGAAAGCATTGAAAGGTCAAAACCTGTCTGTGCAGATCTTTGGGTGTACTCTGCTACTCGTGGGAAATCTGTTGTATGGACGTTAGCAACATGACGTAGACCTCAACTGACCCTCGTCAGAAATTCACCACTCACCCGAATACTCGGCACTCACTAGTCATCAATTCACCCGACCTTCACTCACAAATATATTGGTGGGAAATCTGTGAAGATTCAATGGGCTAGCCGAGAGCTAAGCTGTGACTCTCACCTTCTCGAAGTTGGAGAGAGAAAGAGGGCAGCTGTATTTGCGGTGCAGAGCGAGCAACTCCTGGATGCTGTGAACCAGTGCCTGCAGCTGCTGTACTTCCTTGCACTCAAACTCGCTCTGAGCAGCAAAGAAAAAACAATGTGATGACTCATCCCACTGAGGGTAAGGCCTATTTCAGATAACAATAAACTCACACATGGAATATATCCCCTTATAACCACAGAGATTGTTGGGGCAAGTGCTGTTAGCGAGTACTGTGCACGAGGGGCTAGTACCAAGCCCGGCCGCCTGGTCTTTAATAGACTGTTGGGGAAAGTGACTTAAGGAGTACCGATTAAGGCCTATTAAGACCCACACAGACAAAGAACCCACGTATAACCTTTTCAGGCTGTTGGGTTAAGTCCTGTCAGAAAGCACTTATGAAGGCTGGACACACACATACTCTAAGACACATATTAATGAAACATTCTTTGAGAAACAAAGACAAAGATTCCCTGTATTGCCTTAACAGACTTTTGGGGCAAGTGTTGTTAGCGAGGACCTATGAAAGGCCGGCATGGCATACGAGGCGGTGGGTGGGCCAGCACCACGCCTGGCCGCCTTTGTCTCCCGAGTGGCTATGTTTACATGTCGCACCAGGTACTTATCTTAAGAAACACACACACTGTGACACTCACACACCAAAACAACATACACACAGCACACACAAAGTAACATGCCTGGGATAAGATGATCTGGGCAGAGAAGGGGTCCAGTTGTGTCGGCGATATCCCAGCTGTGAAGAAGACCTCTGCTATTTGAAGTCCGTTTTCTGGCCAATGTTGCTAGGTGGCAGAATAAAACGCGATGGATTTCAGGAAATTGTATAAACTGGCCAATACTGTGCAGAGGATTACACTGTACAACGTACAAGTAAATGCGTTAGTGTCAAATAATATGCAAGGAGCACTGTCGCAGTTCATTAAAACACGGGAGTAGCGTTTGCACTCGTAAAAATAATCCTGCCATAATAACAAAACGTTACACCATTTAAATTAATAACCAGTCAATTTAGGCAATTATATTTTCCTTGGTAAAGATATAAGATAATTATAAAAGAGGCAAGCGGTAACGCTTTGCTATAATAAGCAATTACTGGGCATCGAAACTGCTGTTTCCAAAAAGGAGATTAAGTGTTGCTCCTGATACATGCTTAAGAGCTATTTAATCAAGCTGGCTGTTGCCTCAAGGCTGTGTTGCGTACCTTCTCCGTAAGCTCCAGGCTACGAGCTCTCTGATCCAGCCACTTTGCCAGAATTTTCTGAACAGCAAACAACATGTCAACTCAAATTTAACATCACATACATAACACGGTTAATGCCAAAAATACAAATCCAACACGAATGCAGCAACGTGAAAATGTGTCCAATTAGCATTCATCAGAGGGAACCAGTCACACCAGAGAGCCTAATAGTATTTATTAAGACATTTCCTCTCGCATGCTTGGGGGTGAAAGCTTGAGGGAGGGTGTTCAGAAACAAGCGACGTTATGGAAGAAGCCAAAGAGGCAGAAATATAAAGATGCTGCTTGACGACTTGAAGGATGGGGGAAGGGGGGGTTGTAGGATGAAGTTAAGAAAGCTCAAGGGTCTGACAGAATTGAGGCCATTTGAGCCAACGACCTGCCTCTGGGCAAATTACTAATCAAAATTTCTCTAACACGCACACTACTCAAAATAACTGAAGAAAAATATCTTTCTTTCGTCATGTGTTTTCCAACAGGGACACATTGCACAAACAGTATATGTATGAGATCATAACAACAACAGGAAAAGCGAAATATTTAAGCTAAAACTGCGACAAAGCTTCAGAGAACGTACGTCATTTTTCCAGTGTAAATTGTCCAATAAGATCTGCAAACCCCATGGTGAACTTTCCATCGGCATAACAAGGAAACCCACCTGTCCGCCAGGAATACGCCTGCGCACACACGGCACGAGCAGGGTGGCGAGCCAAGGCAGCAGAGAGCACGAAGGCATCACACGGGGCACCGCCGCAAGCAGTTGCTTCAGCCGAACGCAGTCCAGCTCCTTCTCAAACTCCACCTGATTAGCAGACAGAAGATGGACAAAAACAGGCAGTCAGACAAACAAATACTCCGACAGGTGTACAGGCAGGTAAGTATAAAGTCAAGCATGCAGCAAATCGGCAATAGACAGACAGACAGATGCAACGACATACAGAGGCATCACTTGTAAAACCTTCCAAGTCACCCAAGCTACTCGCCAATATTCCCTGGCACAGGAGTCTGTCTTTGCTTGGTTTAAAGTGGTCAGCTGATCTGAACTCTATAAGTGGAATACTCTCAGTCTTGTGATGCAACAATTCATCGAGGACCTGTATGAGCCGACTTGTATACAGTACTCTTTGTTTTTTTTCGGTAAAGTCACGTAGGTTAAAGGAAAACAAATACAGAAATTTTGCTGTGACGGTTTCACCTGAAGACGGAAGCTTGTGTTGCCTCCGAAACGTCGTGTTTTCTTTTAACCTACGTGACTTTACCGAAAAAACCAAAGAGTATGAATCCTTGCAGTCACGGAAGCTTCAAATCTAGAATTGTATACAGTACTTCATGTCTGCTGTCGATGTTCTTGTGTATGTGTTGCCTACCTTGGCTGGCACTCTGTTGTTAGTCTCAACGACTGGCCATTATCCCTTTGAAGCAATAATATTCCCTGCCCAAGCCCACTTACTTTTCTTAACAGTCGATATGATGCGTCTAGCTTGTATGTGTTCCATGATCCATGTATTCCTCTTCCTCTCGGTGTAATTCTGGTAGGAATTCGCCTATAAAATGGATATGGAATATAGTGTAAAATCTGACCTTAACTCGTTAATCTCCTGCACGAGAACATAAATTTTGCACCGATGTCAGCTGCTCAGGGGCAGGCCAGTGGAATCTAAGCAGACATCATGACATCGGTGGTTTATAGAGACTGGTGCAACTGTCCTTCATTGTTACTAAATCATATTGGTATGGTGATGGGTTTGCGCAAGAGGCAGCCAGACTGATTGTCATATCCAGGATGGACATTGCCATTTACTCAATTGTAGGAAAATAACACTGCTTAAAATCATCAACTAAAATGCATAGCAATGATAATGGAATATTATTTGATTTGTATATTGTATTTACTGTGGACCTCCTCACAGGTGCGTTCCATCTTTTGGCTGCCATTAAGTTATCGGTGTCAGCGAACCAGCAATGATGTCTACAGCTGAAGCCACTTACGTTTCTTAATATTTAATTTGATATTTCTAACTTGTGTATGTTCTCGAATCCAAGTGTTCCTTCTTGCTGTCTCTAAGTTTAATTCCAAACTTACAGCTCTCCATGCTTCTTTGTCGCACATTTGTTCATATTCTTTGTCGGTAAGTCATCCAGCAGTCAACAGGCCATGGTTGATTATAATGATGTTGTACTTAATGGGTTGGTATAAACCGTGCAACCACTAGACACTGTGGTTCACCACAAACTAAAAAATAATACCGAATAGAACCGAGACCCATAATTGTGATAATTCACCGAACCGTGATGGGCACGCGTAGTTAAACGCCCAAAAAACAAACCTGGTGTCGGAGCCAGATGAACTGGGCACTAGCGAGGTTCTGTTGCTCAAGCTGCTCCAACACTTGGGTGAAAAGATCGGTCAACTTGAATGAAAGCCACTGGGGCCCACTGCGAGTCAGTTAAAAAAACACACACACACAGGCTGGTCAGCACCATACTAATATACACAAGCAGATGACGCGAATATGTGTCGTAATATTTATCTCAATTGTGCTATCGGCATCCCATCGTGAGGACAAGGTCACAGAGCAGTGCCTCATCCTGTTGCAGAAGAGTCCGTAGAAAGAGAAATGACAGAACTGCTTCTGAAATCTCATGAGACTGGAAATTCAAACGAGGGGCCACCGCTTTGTCCCCTACTCTGCTACACAGGGAAATGTTCATTATACATGACAGTCAAACTTATGTTGTCAATTCATGAGGCCGAAATTCAGCGAAATTACATGGAGAACCATATTTAAGGATTTACTTTGGTGTGCATTCATTAATGACTGGGCTGAAACCATCAACTCACGACACTTGAGATGCCAGTCTGAATCATGGGTGGCTGAAACCTGGATTTGAACCCAGGATTTAAGCAATGCCAGCTCAGCACTTTGTGACATCCGACCCACCTCATCACATTCGTATCTTGAAAAAACGGTTTAAATCTTTGCCCCATTGTTGATCACAGAGACAGATGCTTTTTTCAAAAAACGTACTGTCACATGAATGGCAATCTAATGCTGGGAATCACTTAAGAGTTTCTGAACTCATTAAATGTGTAGTAATGAATATGTAACAGTCCACAGTTTATATTTCACTCAGAGGGAGCAGTGGTGAGGCGGTTCGCCCACTGGGCTATGAACTCAATGACCCGAGTTTCATTCCTGGCCATGGCTCACTTCAGTGACGAACGATATCTGAAACAATACTGCCCCCACCAATTCACCAACCTTCACAAAACCAGTGTAAAGTATGGCCGAACAACCGCCGTGACGGACACAGCGTTGGTAGGCCTTCGTCTAGCAGTGGATTAACAAAGCAATACTAATTTTGCTTGAGCCAATTTGTCTGTAAGAATGTAATGTGATCAGTTGCTTTCATGTGACCGGTTGCAAAAACAATTTTGGAGTCAAAGAAATCTCTATATTCAGTAAAAAAAAGAGTCAAAATGGACTATCGTATGCAACGATATTTGCTATTTTCCAAACCTGAAATTATTTGCCCCGAATGCTCCGTGAAAAGTCATCAGTCTGTCCTGAACCTGTAAAACCTGCATGAATGCAAATGGTTCAGAATTAATTGAGGGCTCAATTTCACCGGTGACGATTACATAGACGTGCAATGTTATGGTACTTTTATAACCGTTGTCGTATTCTTTACCTCTGTCATCAGCTCATTTTTCACCCAAGCACTGCCTTTTGTAATCTGTTGAGAGAAGAAGTAGACACATTCAAAAACCGCTAAAAGAAATGTACGAGTCCATTACATTTTTATTATACAATATTATTGCGGTATATATTGGACTACTATGCAATAGTTTTTGGAGCAAGAATGGATGCCTGTGTGTATATATATTTAAAACACATTACATTAAACTGATTTAAAAGGTTGAGAGAAGCAGCATTTGACCGAAATGTCCCTATGGCTATTCCACTTTTATTGTAAATTGCTTTGTTTGAATATGAATGTCAGTTCATATTAATATTGATCACCTGCCACAGTTATTTCAGCGAGAGCTACTGTTTCCCCTCGAGCCATCCTACTTTTGAACCACCACATCTGTGGCTGCAAAGGGCTCTGTGACGTATATCCACCACGTGAAGTATCCACCGCGACGATTGGAGCTCTCACCCTGCTCTTGCAGTAGCTGAGTACTTCCACGGCCACGTCGAAGCTTGGCCAGCAGGTGTCAAGGCAGTATCGCACCACAGCAGAGTCATCCTGCATCGAGTGAGAGATCATACGGGCTGACTAATCCGATTATACACACCCCATTTATTTCTAAAGACATGTTCGCCTGCACAGGTGAATGAGTATTGTTAAAGAGACGGCTGCAAGCTGACAGAGAGAATAAAAAATATATCAAATAAGTATATTCATATTGGTTTAGTGATATGTCGCAGCTTTCATATGAACTGTTGGTTTCTCTATAATATATCCATGTTATTTTAGTGGAGGAACTATAAATGGATCTCCCTGTAAGTTCAACCAGGCTTGTGCATTAACGCCCGTCACCTGGATTTTCTCCAGCGTGGCCCGGGCCTGCTTGGCAAGCTGGGCCCGGTATTCAACGTTCTTGCTGCTAGGAGATACCAAGGTGAGCTCTTGCAGTAGGACGGTCACCTTCACATTATACACCACCTGATAGAAGCAAGCAGTGTCAGCCGCGTTGTGACAATCCGATAGAGAGACACCTTGTTATCACCTTTACAATTTGACACAATGCATTATCTTTCTCGATACAAGCGTAACCATAAAGTTTTCATGTCATCAACCCGCAATGAGCACTGCGGAGAAACATGGTGAAAGAAATCTAACAATATTTATTTACATTGAGCACTTCACATCATCTTGTGAAGAACAGGTCTGTCGAGAAGACAGAGTCTGTCTTCTCGACAGACCTGTTCTTCACCTGAGGACGGCTGCTTGCGTTGTGGCCGAAACGTCGTGAGAATTATTTTATAATGTTTTATTTTTATTATTTTATTCTTTCCATTCTACGTGACTTTACCAAAAAAACCAAGAAGATGAATCCCTGCAGTCACGAAAGCTTTAAATCGAAACACTTCACATCAATTAAAGGTTTGTCTCAGAGCACTTCACATAAGATAAAAAATGTACATGAATGCCAAACAAATAGAATATTAAAAACCAAGGCTTTAACTTAAAAAATCCTCAGGACCCACACAGCATAGGGAGGACTTCACCCGGCAGTGGGATAGATATACTAATGGGAAGCACGATATATGACGATCGACAAAACAGCTGCATGTGCACAAACCATTGCGTACCTCGACATCCAAGTGGAAATGAATTGCAAACTTTTCTGCCTCTTCAAACTGTTGCATGCACAGCAAGCGGCTCAGTCTATTAAAAGAAAAAAAAAATGTCATTTAAAATAGCAAGCGGTTTTGTTGTAATGCGCTATTTTTACAACCATTCAGAAGCAAAGCGTGGATGCTGATAGGACCGCTCTCTAATGGTACTCAGCAACAGCAAAAGCTCATAACTGCAATCTGGGCTCGATTTAAATTTCAAGCCACATCATATGCGTCATTAAAAAATGTTCTGCTGTGCCTACAAAACCAATGTTAGAAATGCACATTTCAGAATGTATATTGCTACGTAACAATAATTTCAGAGCATAAAATTACAGCGTTGCAACTTTATGTTAGGCCTATCAGATCATCTTGTAGTAGAACACGTGTCTCGACTACTCTATGATCCGAAAGTGAGTATTAATTTACTACTACATGATCCGACAACGAGTACCAATTCGTGAGAAGTCAACAGTGGTTGTCATATGGGTAAACTCACTCGTAAATGAGGAATTTCCAGCACTATCTCAGGACTGCAAACAGGACATGAGCATTTCACCATGCTCGCTTAAGCAGAGCGATATTTCATTTAGGTTATGTGCTATCGACCACAAAACGACCATGAAAACACATGTGAAACATGATTGATTATTCCACATCTACTATCTCTCAGGGATTGGTGTAAAAGAAAAATCCACACCAGCGTCAAATAACGATAAACACCCCTCCAACCCCCCAAATAACCATCAACTTGGGCTGCTCCATTCGGATCATTGTGGGTAACACAATGTGTTGGGGGGCCTTGCTCAGAGTGGACCGCGCCATTTCCCACGGGGGAGTATCTATGACGCTCACCGCCAGGCTGGGTTTATTGCCGATGCGACTCACCGGTTCTCGGGAAGCGCCTCGGTCAGATGTCGCAGAACCAGCATGGAGACGGCGCCGTCTGGATGCCTTGATAGTTAAAGGATGCAAGAACTGTATTTTAACAAGTTAAAAAATCTGGATATTTTTCCAAAATGTATTTATATGAAGAAACATATAATGAGAAATATAGAAACTGAATGGTAGCAGAATGGACAAAATGTAGTTTCCTTTTCACTGGTTTGTGCTTTGGGCAATCTTTAAATCAATTTGAAAGGATTTCAATAGGATAAGTAGCTAATACAACTTTATCCTAACAGTTGAGTTCATGATCCCATCAAAAGATAGTGCCCCCCCATATTTTTTTAGTAGCTAATTTTAGCTATTCTGTTTATGAACCAAGTGACACTATTATAGTATATATTTCAAACTTGTTTTTATGATCACCAGAACATAATAATCTGGCCCCAAAAAATAGGCCTACAAATATTTAGCCAACATCTGCAGTTGTAATGTAAAGAGGAAGAGACAAACCACCACATTTGAAAAGCAATACTTTAACCATTGCATTACACAGTACACATACCTGTCACAGTACAATTTATTTCAGGACATTTACACAAGTCTCATCAGGACCGGTCTATGCAATGAATCAGAATATTTCGCACAAAGCCCAAAGTGACATTAACAGGTACCTGCTTCCTCCTTCGTACATGCCCTCCAGGAGGTAAATGGCTTCCTGCAGAACAGCAAAGTTTGTGTGAAAAACAAATAAAATGTGGCACGGAATTATTTGGTATATGAGTTTCCACTCATATACCAAATAATTCATTAAACGGTACTGGCCGAGCATCCCAATGCAGGACCCTCGTGATAAAGAGTCCTGAGACTCGTTGAGGTTTTTCTGGTGAAATTATAGTTAAATTCTAATAGTATGCATCGGTATCACATAGTTTAGAGAACTTTCCTGTATACCCAGGAGCACCGAGTTTAGAACTTTTTTTTCACGGAGTTTCTATGCCCCCTCCCTTAGTCATGGTTTATTCTCTGTACCAGGCTCATGTTGAATTACAATAAAAAAATAGAGGACTTGCCTGTGTGATAGCTGCCCGGGCCAGGAATGAGTGGTTGGTGACTTCAAGCGAGTACAGTTGCTCCATGGCCGGGAGGGAGAAGACCTGAAGAAACCTCACCTGACCAGGCATAGCAACCACATGCAACACATTATAGTATTTCATATTCAAATGGCATAAATTTGTCTTCTGTAAAAAAATCTGATCGATATTGTTAGTTGACAATAATATTAAAACGTTTTCTAAAACTAGATTGCTCTTGTGGTTTTTTGGCCACTAAACATACCATTATTCAATTATGTATGATCTTTCTGAACAGTTTGTATACATGTGATAAAAGACGAATGGGTGTATAATTCTTCAAATCAGTTTTGTCTCCCTTTGTGAATAGAAAATTATTTAGGCATCATTCCATTGAGGTCATTCACATCTGTGTAAGCATGGAGTAAACAGATCCGCCAATTTTGATTTAACACCTCGTCCTGCTTGTTTTATCATTGCCCAGAAATACAAGGCCAACACAAGAATGACCACTGATCAGTGCTCCTGCGATAACACTACTTACCTTTTCTTCACTCGGTGTTGTCATAATGACGAGTTTCACGCTGAACAAAACAGAAGAAACAAAGCACAATTCTGATTTAAAGCTTTCATGACTGCAGGGATTCATATTCTTGGTTATTTCGGTTAAGTCACGTAGAAGGGAAACAATAAAATAATAATAAAAATATAAAACAATACAAATTCTCAAATGTTCTTGCTGTGGATTTCACACCTGATGATGATTGCTTGTGTTGCAGTCAAAACGTCCTAATTTTAATTGTTTTATTATTTTATTATTTCCCTTCTACGTGACTTTACCGAAAGAACCAAAAATAGTTATATTCTTGACAAAAATAAATGGACATCTGACCATGAGCAAGTGTGTGTCGTGGAGGAGGGGAGGGGGAACAAAGATATGTAGTATGGGAGTAAGGGTTGGAGGAAAGGCGGAATGTGACTGGGACACAATTAAATTCTTAACATTAACATCAACACCCAAATCTATATGGGCTATCGTTGTAGAACCAGGTCTAGACGATGTCTAGGGGGAAAAAATCACTTGATACCATTAAAGAAGAATGTTTGGAACTGGAAATCACTCCCAGAAGTGGAGAGGCTAACCAGAAACAGACACACTTGAGAAGGTTGGCTGTGAGTTGGCTACCAGCGCAAACCGACTTGTCGCTATCAGCATGACACAAAACCAAAGTAAGTTGGGCAAGCAGCAGATGGTGATCGGATCGTTGCGAGGTGGCTGCGGTTTTGGGAGGCCTTCATCCAGCAGTGGATTGATTAAGGATGATTGATGATGGCAAGAAGCAAGAGAGGAATTAACAGTGGAGGCTGACCTGCTCATCTCAGCCGACTTGAGATCACCATCAGTCACGAGGCCAAAGTCCTGCACGGAGACGGGTGGCCATTGCCACACCAGCACCAGGCTACACACGTCCCACATGCTCAACGTATGCTGCACACAACCCAGGCAACGACAGAAAAACAACATTCACTGCTAAGTGGTAGTGAAGCTATTATTTTAGCAGTGCCACCATTTAACACGTAGGCTTTCGCGACCAATATCATCCATAAGAGGTTTTGTTGGGTTAGATCGCGTGAATATATAAATGTGTCCTTAATACCCGCCAATTTGTGACGAATTGGCATGTTCTGTTTACGTGACAACCCTTACTAGTTTGCTGTGTCGGGTGGTGGCGGGTTTTAACGACACATTTATATATTTATGCGATATAACCCAAAAAAATGCTCTTATGAGTGCCACCATTATTTTAGCAGTACCAGGCTAGGTACACACTGAGGTTCTGTGCAGTGAGAAATACTTGAGATCACAGAAAGAGAACCAAACTCAATTCCTGGCAATGAAACAGGTGTTAAGATGTTCAAACACCAACAAAAAAAAACTCTCTTGCATATGACTGGATGAACAGCAACTTACACATTTATGTCCAGATTATTCAGCCAGGAAATGGCTTAAATTGCCGTGTGGTAGCTTGCATTAATGACTCTTACATTTTCAGAGTTCTCAATGTTTTATTATACGGTCAATGATCTTGTCGGTGTTCCCGTATAATGGGCTGTCTTTGTATTTCCAGTCGTGGAGGGTGGTGAGTGGATCTGGCATGAGACGTGCAGATTCAATTTAATGCGGACAATTGTGTGAGATAGATAAATGCAGGGGTTCTTTTAGTGGGATCAGAGATTAGGCACTTGTTTGCTGATATCATTTGGTAATTTATCCGAGGTGCTTCCACCGGAATTTACAAGACATCTCTCTGGATTCGCTTAAGAACGAAGCTGGGTGTTTTTAGACTCCTGAATGTAATGGAATCCTGAATGTACGAACTATGTGTGATCGCATAAGACCACATGCAGATTCCTTTAAAAAAATTATCTTGGTTTTTGGAATATGTTAATCCAAGCAGTCATGTTTGATGAAAGCACTTCACACCTTTTTACTGCCCCCCCCCACCCCAACAAATACCCAATTTAGGTTGAGATAATTAGTTTGGGGAGAACACTTGGTATGACATGGAAACCAATTGCCGCCAATGTGTGGGCGGAAAGATTTTAAAGTATACTAATTTAAAAAACACATCAGTAACAGTGCGGCACATGTTAATATTTAGTTTCAAATAAAAGAAAAATGCAGCTAGCATCCAACTGGTATTCGTTTTCTCAACATTAATGCATTTAATAAACATGCAGCAACAGGAAACACTTGTGCCTCTGAAACACATGAGACCTCAATTTTAAACCAAATACACCAGTTCACAGCTTCAACGCCCACAGTTCATACCAAATCAATTCCTCGACCTGAATGTCGATTTTCAGTCTAACATTCCTCCATAAATTTAAATTCACACAAGAGAAATAGCTCTCGGCATGGCTCATGAAGTGCAAGCCAACCAATTTATCCGCGAGAATAAAATAACGTACGTTGTCGTCCAGCGTGAAGATGAAGTTGTTGAATCCAAGGCACTTTTGGATGCCAGCACCTAAGCATTTGCAAAGGAAGGATATAGAAAAGCAAAACATTAAAAGTGGCACACGCACCAAAAATATGCATGAAAAACCTACTGAAGATGCTCACGTGATGGCATATATTTAGAGATAACGTATTATATTACTGAAAATTCTAAATTTGCGTGCACACTTCCTCCTTTTGTGGCCTCAAATGCATTCACTTATTTAATTACAGTTAAACATTGGCCAATGGATACACTGAACATTTTATAAATGTTTTTCTTCCTCTTATGTGAGGTAAAACACAGCAGTTTGCATTTTGTTCGTTTACACATCTGGTATTAATGCCACCTAGTGGAATCATTACAATCCATTGCTGAAGGCTTCCTCCACGCTAAGTCGGTCGTGGGGGATATTTTGCCATACTTCACCACGTTGGTCAGTGCGGGTTGGTGAAGGGGCGGCTCCGGACTGCTTTAGAATTCGCCCGCCTACTGTTAGCCATGGCCAAAAATCGAAACTTGTGTTGACGGACTCTTAAAAAAATGCACCAACAACTGCGCCACCGTTACCCGCCACCTCGTGGGTGACTGGATGTTAAAAGAGGAATGTATGTGAAAAAAATATTGCACATGGTTACCATTCATGAAATGTCCATCCACTGCCCTCTGCATGGAGGCTTGCTGTGTCGCAGTATGCAATTTCCACTCTGACAGCACCATGTCACCTTTGCCCTGCGTAGAAATTGTTTGGGAAATGAAGAGCAACAACTCCTTAGATTAGTTAACAGGCAAGTGTCTGCCCCTGCACATAAATATAAGATTTTAGTTCAGCAGCCTCATCAGACTTCTAGACCTACACGGTCCACCGTTTTAGGATAACCAATCTTTTCTATTAATATGCCAGGAAAGCCCCTGCACACCGCATTCACCTGATAGTTGGTAATCACAGAATGCTGTACCATGGGGGGGGGGGGGGGTCGCGAGTACTGGAATTGAGAATCACTTTTCTTTTGGCATGAAAACTGATCAAAACTATTGGTTTACATGTCCCATAGTCTCATAGAATAAAATGCTGCGTATTTATTTTTATGAAGAATAGACTCGATACTTGCGAATGAATAATGCATAATCCTCCACGACAACGGTTAATGAGCTTTTATACAGTTCCAGGAACACATAATAAGCAAATCACTTCGAAAGCATAATTTAAACATGTATAAAAGAGAAATGAATATCTTTAGATTTTTTAATTACCGTGTAAAAAATAGATGAGTAAAGAATAAACTATTACAGCATTTATTTTATTGGAGATTATACAACATCCCACCTTTGACCCCTATTGGCTGTTGCATTAACAACCGTGCCACCAATAAGAAATTAACGTTTAAAAAAATTACTGAGTTGAAGTAAAACTCAACTCGCTAAAAATGTTATCTCACCACTGCACTCATAGAAAAGTAAATGACACAAACCCTTTGCAAAGAAATTATAATTTTATAAAAAAGGAATACAGCTCTTACGGCAATGATCAGGTGTGGGCTGCCATCTACTAATGTGACCAGACCATGGCTGTTATAGTCCGTATGAACATCTTGAGTTGAAATGAACTTGATGTTCATTTTTTCTTGGCACTGTTATGGAAAAAGAAAAAAAACATGAATGGGATTCCAAAGTAGACTATTGACATCTTCAATAGTACATGTTCTACTTAATGTGGGTTAACAAAAGTTTACAGTTGTCTCCTGAATGTGTACATTTCATCACAACGAAGTTTAATATAAATCATTCAGTGAAATTTCCAGCTTTGTAGATGGCAATACAAAATTGTAATTCAATATTTACCTCTTTGGCAGTTGTCATGTTTGCCGTCTCCAAAGCTAAAACACAAACATACGCATACATTTAGAATTATTCTTGTGTATTTCAAATATAGATGTGCATACATATACAAAATGAACCTTCCATACATATCAACATGTATGCATCACACAATGGAAAAAACAAAAAATAATGCTTTGCAATGAATGTGATCTACGAGTTAGAAGACATCACTTGATGTCCTTAATTCGCAACATAAATTCTCAACTCATTCTCAAGAGGGTCTAGCATGGTCGTGTTTGGCCAAATTCCATTTTAAATTTGGGTTTTAATGACAATGATGTATGTATGTAGAACTTGTTTTCAATCCAGATTTAAAAGTGCATAGCTCCAGTGGCTTCATAATATCGGAAGAGCGCTCCAGATGGGCACAGAATCACATCAGAAAGCGTGCAATGCAGTGACCATCTTTGTTCGATGGCTAGCCAAAAGCCGCCGGTGCAAAGATGATAATGAAGACAATGTCCTTCGCCGAGTCTTAAGACCAGGACGTTCCTAGGGACAGTCGTGCATGGTGAGTTAGTAAACACCCACGATAACATTTACCTTCCTGAAGCTTCTCAAGCCGCAAGTTTGACACCCACAAGAATCCTTTTCTCGACAGAAGGAACATATGGTAGGCATCTGCAAGTGGACAGACCATAGCATGACAACAGGCTTGACATAACCTTATCAAGCCACCTACACCACCACCACATGTACCAAAGCATTAATATCTTTTTTAAAATTAATGTAAGAGACAGCTAAGGTTAGAATGGTCATATAACATTGACAACCATAGGCCAGCTGGCACGTCATGTCATATACACAATACAACTACATGAGGATTCAACAAAAACAATCAAAACAAGAACTGCAGTTAAAATGTTTAAAATATTTGTATGCCTGTCTTGAGTTTTTGAACATTGAGACATGGCCTTTAAAGGAATTCAAGTACTAAAAATAATTTAAGGGGCAGAAACAATGCATCTGCGATTCTTACTGTGAATAACACAAAAAACATAATTGGTCACAGGCAGTGAGCACATATATTAATGCACATGATACATTCCATATAGTGCAGTTCTGTACATAAACAACATGCCTCCTACCATTCTGAGAAGGGTCTGGCTCCAGTATCAGATCAATGTACGACCCATTTCCTTTCAATGGATCTCCTTGAAGAAGACACTGTTGAAAAGAAAATTCAATGGTCACACGTGAATTTAATGTAATCAACACTTTGACAATGGTGCATTTAAAGCAGGGACAGGGATCCTTTAACTTTCAGCGGGCTGAATAGGAATTTCAAAATCTTTGGTGGGTCACACATTAACAAGGAGTCTCTTGCAGTGACAGAAGTCCACTGATCAAGCCAAAGCGAAATTGATGGTGGGTCGAAAAAATTGCTCTCTAGTATCTGATTAGTGGCTATCATGCTTGCAACAACGGATATATATAATTTGCAGGTCATTTCAAAGTGGTAGGCGTCATGTGGCCGTGGATCGTATGAGATGAAGTCATGGGCCATAGGTTGCCCACCTTTGTCCTAAAGAGTATAGCTTGTACAGCAAGTGCCAATTGACTGTTGCCTTGAGAGATTTGTGTTTGGAACAGAGAGATGAGGGGACACTTAAGCAGCACACGGCACCTTGGTCATCAGCTTCCGCTGGGAGGCGACGTGGATGAGATTCAGAAAACCACTGCTCTCGCCCACCACCAGAAAGTGACCTCGCTGGCAAAGCCCCACTACATCCACCGGCGAGTCTGTGAGCAAACATTGTCATCTTGTTAAAACGGTTTCACTTGAGAAATAGAATAATAAAGAGATGGCAAATTATTTATGTTCCCCTCCCTCCAACTTTATCCAGATTGTGCTGTAGGCATCATGTCGTGAGACAAAGTACCCAATCGGACCTTTCACAGAACAATGCATCCTCCCATGTTGGAGAATGGCCCACAAAAGAGAATATCAAATCATTATCTTTGATATCTAATCTACAGAGTAGAGAACAACACTTTTACACCCTCTCGGTCACAGACAGTAAGCTTTGTCACATGATTTGAAATGCAATTGTTTTAAATTATCAGCGCTAGTATTTATCCAAGTTTGGGACAAAAAATAATCATTTAATGTCGTTAATCTATTTGCATTCATTGGTGACTGGGCCAAAACCATCAACTTAATATAGAGGAAAACTAGATTTAATTAGAGGCGGCTGTTTGGATCAAACCCAGGTTCTGTGGTGCCAGCTAAACACATTGACCTCTGAGCAACTCTGCAACCTCTGAAAAAGAATGATTAAGAAGCATTTAGGGTTGAATGCCGAAATGTTAACTCAAGCATTAACCTTCAATCAGAGTGCAATTTCTCCTGAAATGCCATTTCTGTTAATGATGTCGACCTTTGGAAATTTACCACAACAAAGCATCAAACAAAATAGTGAAAATAGTGAAATGCATCAATAACAAACAGTCATTTGAGATCCTGTTGAAAATTGTCAACTGAGAATAGGTGCACAGATCAATAAGGCTTATGTTACCAAGGAAAATGATATTATGTACACATACAGCCGTTTGTCAATTCACTGCTGGGATGAGGGTCTCCCCATGCTGTGCAGTTCGTAGGGGTTACTTGACCATATTTAGCCACGCAAATCAGTGCACAGCAGCCTGTAACACCTGCTGTGAGGAGTGATCACAAAAACTGGAACCTGCTTGGCTTCCTATATCTCATGAGATCAGGTACATGCAGAGCAGAGGTCGCAACCGGGTACCCGATACCCGTACCCTACCCGATAACCGGCTACCCGTACCCGGCCGGGTACGGGAACCCGTTTGCGACCCTGGTGCGGCCGGGTACGGGTAGACCGTGAGTCGCTGGTGAGTAACTGTTTGTCACTCATTTCCCAACGTCTTGTCTCTTCTCACAATTAAAGTTCCTAGAATCAACCCACCCGCGCCTGCAACATGGCTTCATCCCAGAGGAAAATGATATTACCCGTACCCGGCCGGGTACGGGTAGGGTATGGGTACGGGTACCCGTTTGCGACCCTGGTGCGGCCGGGTACGGGTACGGGTAAGGAATCAAACCCCGTTTGCGACCTCTGATGCAGAGTGATTTAGGCATCCGTGACAATGCTTGGCAGTGTAGAAAGGTATCTTCAAAGAGCTGTGAAAGTGGCCCACAACCACTTACCGAACTGCAGCTGAAGTAGCAGAGACAGCTGATTGCTGCTGAGTAGGGTGACGGTGCTGTCGACTGTTAGAATAAAACCAGCATTGCTACTCTGCAGCCACACACGTGGGCTGGTGAGGACCTGTGAAAGCAAATCGAAAGTGTCACCGAGGTGTTATAGGCCTTTGTCATTTTATTTTTAAAGGCTTCTCTCAGTACACATTACCTTCTCGGAGGGTGACACCTTGAGCAGTGTGTCGATCTGGTAGAGGGCATTCCCACGTTCCTGGCTGGAACCACAGCCCAGGCGAGTGCCAGATTGTTCTTCGCCGGACAGAAACTCCACCTCTGTCCACATTGTGCCAGCCTGTCCACAATCATGACAATGCATCGTTGCACCAATGGAACTTGCACACCCCCACGCACCCCACCCCTGCAGACATCCTTTGACATATTTAGTCGAGACTGCAATTGATAGCGTGTGGTCGATGGTAAGAGAAACCTTTTCGGTCGATGGTAGAGCAACCCTTTCTAAACCATGCTTGCCCATGTGCCTTTGTTGGCCTTTCATTTTCTATCAATATGTTCCCAACGAATTTCAAGGATAATTTATAGACATAAATGCATGTGATAAGAAGCTAAAGGGTCTTCGATTCAAGTAAACTAAAACTAACCTATTTTTATTTTACCAAGATATCTTGCTCTTTTTCAGAAATGATCTAGGCACAAACGATAGCTCAACGAAGTGGCTTATCGTCGTGTGGAAATGTTTAGCAGCCAAAATGCTCTAAAAAAAAGTTTCTAAACGTGGAGGGAAAAACCGGAGAACACGGATAAAAATCCGCGCGACCATAGGGAGGAGCATGCAAACTCCAAATATACAGCAGACGTCAGGGTCGGGATCGATCGCACAACTTCCTGTATACCAGGCGAGGTAGTTATCACTCTGAATGTAATGGCTTGATGCCTTCAGCATTGGATGGACCTTAGCTGATCTAGTAATTATGTGTTTATTCTGACTTATTTTCACCTGAAGAATTTTGGGGTGAATTAGGGCATGAGGAAAACAGGAATTTGGGGTGCACATTGTTTGGTGTAGAACCCGATCACTCAAGTTCCATTCTGGGCCACGGCTAACATCAGTTTAACACGTAGGCTTTGGCGACCAATTTTATCCATAACAATATGGATGATATCCGTAACAATATGGATATTGTGGTGGCGGGTTTAACGGCACATTCATATTTAGGCGATCTAACTAAAAAAAAACTATATTATTGCTAACATCAGTGTTCTTGGACACCACCTTCGCAAACCCCCGCTGACCAGAGTGGTGAAGTATAGTCACAAACACCCACATTACTGACAGCAGTGAACTGGTAAAAGGGCTGTTTGTCACTAATCTATATATATGAAATATAAATTTACTTTTATATATTTTTTTGGGGGGGGCGCAATAATGAATATCTATCGATATATAAAAGGGAAATTTGTGAATGTGTGTGTCTGTTCGAAATGTTTAGCATACTTCCCGACATGCAACCAACTTTAAATTTGGCACGTGGGTAGGTTCCAGACAATGCAAGACTTTGGGGCCGTCCATAAATGACGTCACGCGATTTAGGACGATTTTTTTTACCCCCCCCCCCCCTCGTCACACGGCTTCACAAAAAGTCAGACCCCCCCTCAAATGACGTCACAAAGGTCTGCCCCCCCCCCCAAAAATAAAACATGCTTCACATCGCTTTAAACTATTGTCATTGTAGTGCGTATTTAATGTGCCGCTGCGCTCTGATGTTGTAGGATAAAACATGTACTGTATTAAAAAGTATATTTAATTAAGTAGAACGTGTTGTCTATATTTATTAAAATTTGCGAATTTTGATGTGACGTCACATTTCTCACCCCCCCCCCTCTCTCGTCCCACATCGTCACAAATGTCTGACCCCCCCCCCCCCCCAGGTTCATGACGTCATTTATGGACGGCCCCATAGGTATTGTATACAAAGCCAATCCGAGTTACACGAATATCAATGAGACTCAAAGGTCAAGGATCACATGAGGACGTGCACGTCCCTGTAGTCAATCCACTGCTGGATGACGGCCGCACTATTGTCATACAGTACCGGTTTTGTGGTCGTTAATCGATTACTCGGCGAAATATTAATAACTTAGTCCAATCATTCAACGGCTCAAGCGTCCCAATGTTGTGATGAGCGACAAGAAACCAGTGACGGAAACTCCGCGTTACTATGACGGGGCCAAGTCTGTCCACACACCACACAACCAAAAATCACTCCCGACGGTATTAAAGATAGACGGCGGTACTTTCACAATGTTAAAACACGTCAGGTAATACAACATATGATCACAAGTATCACGTTTATACTGGGCGGAGGTACCAAGCGATAAAACCTTACGCGGTACAGTACGGACTGTAGCACGCACAAACAATTACCTCACATTATTTATAAAAAAATATATCAAATTTACGCAAACTTGGGGACGACGACAACACCGACTTACCTTCGTTAGCCGGGCGCTAACAAGCGGCGTTAAACGAGGAGCATACACACACAAAGCAACAACAACTTCTAATCTGCAGACTGAGGCGATGGGTCTCGAGACGCCGCGGGGTTCTCGCACTCGAAATTTGGCGGGAAAAGGCGGTGACCGTGAGGGGGCGCTGAAGTGGCAAAGTTTATTAAACTCTTATTCATAACAATAAAAAAAACCTTCTCTTCTCCTCATGAAATATAACAATTTACCTGATGTTTTTTTTTTATTTTTTAATGTCCATAATCAGACATTATAAACAACTACTTTGGACATCTTGGTTCTTTCGGTAAAGTCACGTAGAAGGGAAGTAATACAATAATAAAAATAAAACATAATAAAATAATTCTCACGACGTTTCGGCCACAACGCAAGCAGCCGTCCTCAGGTGAAAACCAGGTCTGTCGAGGCGACAGCGTCTGAATGTTTAATTTTTATTATTTTATTATTTCCCTTCTACGTGACTTTACCGAAAGATCCAAGAAGATGAATCCCTGCAGTCACGCAAGCTTTAAATCGAAAGATGGCATGGTTGTTCATCACATCAGTTGATTGTAATTGATGTATATATTATTTTTAAACATAATTTACACCATTCAACTCAGTGCAGTCTGCAATACTCCGACGCGGAAAAGTGCAGGAACAGGCAATGCAAAGTAGTCACATCACACGAATAAATTTATATATTAGACTTTCTAAAAAAAATTTAACCTCTGTTCAATGCTCTTTTGATTACTGCTGCAGTGGCCTTGTGCTCCATTGCATTTGAAAATGAAATGTCAAACGACATCACATCACTGGAATTCGTCCTCCCAACCCTGTCCAGTCCTCCCACCATCCACATCCCTCTCACTGATTTACCCACATGGCTGTTTACCACAGTGACACGTCTCGACATTCTAACCGTACGCATGGCATGGTGACAGAAAATAAATGCCAACCAATTATGGAGGAAGTCTTGCTGCTGCTGCTGCTGCCTCTCTTGGCCACCACGAGAGGGCTTCGTGTCGTGTCCGCAGTGGGTTGACTGCGCGGTCCATAGTTTTGTTTAGCACGTGGCAGGCTTTCGCGGCCAATATTATCCAGAATAGAGGATGTTTTGGAGTTAGAATCGCGTAAATATCGATGTGTCGTTACACTCGACACCACCCGACACAGACAATGAGTAATTATCATCATCGCCTGATGAAGCTAGTTGTAATTAATAGGGAAACGTCGCACTCGAATTGTAAATGTCGTGGGTTTACTCTCCAACACACCGGTGTGCTGAACTAGTTAAGAATTGGCACGTTTTGTTGACGTGACACCCCTTTCGATGTAAAGCTTTCGTGAGTGCAGGGATTCATCTTCTTGGTTCTTTCGGTAAAGTCACGTAGAAGGGAAGTAATAAAATAATAAAAACTAAACATCAAATGACACGTCATTTAGACTCTGTCTTATCGACAGACCTGTTCTTCACCTGAGGACGGCTGCTTGCGTTGTGGCCGAAACGTCGTGAGAATTATTTTATTATGTTTTATTTTTATTATTTTATTATTTCCCTTCTACGTGACTTTACCGAAAGAACCAAGAAGATGACACCCCTTACTAACAGGCTGCGTCGGGGTGGTGGCGGGTTTAACGAAGTATTTATACTTACGCGATCTAACCCAAAAAAACTCACTTATGTCCATAGTTTGGGTTGCACGATCACAGTCGCACTCCTGTGGCTTGTGTCTTTAATGTATATCTCTCTATCTCGGTGTCTCTATGGATCTCGACGTAGCGTATAGTTGTTGCTATTCCTCCGTCGAAAGGAGCTCAGACCACAGTGGGTTGACTACGCGTTCCATAGTTTGGGTTGCACGGCCACACTGGTGAGACGAGGCCATGAGGGAGGCTGTCGCTGGTGTAGGACATTAATTTTCAAAGACAATGCATATATTTCGATTTAAAGCTTTCATGACTGCAGGGATTCATCTTCCAACCCAGCTTAAATATACGCTCCAAGCGTGGTGCTGTTTCATTCAGACGCTGTCTCCCCGACAGACCTGGTCTTCACCTGAGGACGGCTGCTTGCGTTGTGGTCGAAACGTCGTGAGAATTATTTTATTATGTTTTATTTTTATTATTTTATTATTTCCCTTCTACGTGACTTTACCGAAAGAACCAATAAAATGCATATATTATTATCATCAGAGCATGTGTTTTCCACGATCGTGTGGTTAATGCAGACTTGATGCCTTGATAAATGGGTATTATTATATTTGGTGTTTGGGGCCGTCCATAAATGACGTCACGCGATTTTAGACGATTTTTGACCCCCCCCCCCCCCCCTGGTCACGCGGCGTCACAAAAAGTCAGACCCCCCCCCCCCCCTCAAATATGACGTCACAAAGCTTTGCCCCCCCCCCCCCCCCAAAAAAAAACATGCTTCAAATCGCTTTAAACTATTGTCATCGTAGTGCGTATTTAATGTGCCGCTGCACTCTGCTGTTGTAGAAGAAAACATTTATTAAAAAGTATATTTAATTAAGTAGAACGTGTTGTCTATATTTATTTAAAGTTGCTTATTTCGATGTGACGTCACATTTCCCACATCGTCACAAATGTCTGACACCCCCCCCCCCCTAGGTGCGTGACGTCATTTATGGACCGCCTCCCTTGGACATCTTAACACCTCCTGTTTTATTGCCAGGAAGGGTACAGCCTCTTCCCCCCCCCCACACCATTTTGATACTGGCAAAAAGGTCCCACAGATACTCGCGTCTTTCATTTTCACTATTCCGCATTAAATTTGCACGCCGATTGCACTCGGAAATCCTCAAAATAGCCGTCAGGTGGCGCTCAACTGCAGCAATTTAAACCCCAATACTTTTTTTTCAATGAAAACTTTGAACGCAATCCACTTACCAACCACAAAAACAACAAGAACCACCACCACCCACCATCACCACTCCCTCTCTTAATCCATGCTGTGGGCCCCCCCCCCTCCTCCTCCTACACCTCTTCAATGTCCCGCCCATCTCTCACAAAATCCAGCCTCCACTCTCCCTGTTCACCCAGCCCCCGGCCGGATACGGCACCGACTATTGAGAGAGTGGTGATTCGATGGAGTGAAGCGAGCAAGAGGAACAAAAGCTCCCTCCCCCCGGCCTCGGTTGATTCAACAAAAGTAAACACAGTGGAAGAGGGAGACCTGTTTGTCTATCTCGGTCGCTCAGTCCATATCATGGTTTCTCATGCGAAGGAGGTCTTGCAGTAGTTTAATGTCTCGTGGTCAAGTTATCGTCCAGCGAAATATAGAAGCGTCGGTATTTTGCCAACTCGCTTTAAATTCAGCTCTCGTACGACTTAACAACAACAAAAAGGCTAGGCAAATACTGTCGATAAAAATAAGGCGAAACATAATCCATAGCGTGTCGTGCAAACTCCTGGGGTTTTTTTTTTTAAGTCGTTCGAGTTTCTCAAGCTGCGATGAACTTCGTATCATGCGCGTAGGCTGTAGCTGAAGGGACCTTGAGTTGATTTAAAGCAGAGAAAACAATGTTCTGATTTTGTTCCAACAAAGATTTGTTTTTAGAGCGGTGGATGAGTCTCTGCGCAGGACAGGCTGTTGATTAATTCCGCGCAAGAGCGTGTTGGATTGTCGGTGAATGGGAGAAAGTGGACTGAAGGATGGAGCAAGCCTCGGTCGCAAGATGCAACTTAAAGTTTGGCGGAGTGGTGGTCCTGTTCTTGTTGAGCGCCGTCTTCTCCGCTGAAGGTAAGAGCGATGTCTTGAGCTTACACTTTCCTTGTATGTGCGTTGAACTTCTTTCGCACCGTACGCAGCCAACCGTGCTAATCGCAGGTGCGGAGGACTTCAACACCGGCACGTCGATTGAAAAGACGTCGGGATGCGCGTGTTGCCTTATGGATCGCAAACTTGTGTGCGCACACTGATGGAGACAATTATACGCAAGTTGAACAACAACAGTATGGAGATGACGCATGCAGGGAATGACACACTGCTACTTATATGATTATCAAATTAGTATCAAATTCAGTTTTACAACAAAGAAAACAATCGTTTTATCCATCGCCTCTTCAAAAGCTCTGTAGTAATAATATGAAATATTTATTCTCGGACTCATAATTTCGATTTCTTTTTTGGGTTATATCATGGTGTAGCTATAATGACAATTTTCAACTTTACCCTCCGCCACCCGACAAGGACAATGAGATCACGTAGCCAATTATGCCAAATTATTGGCATTATATCTACGCGATACAATCCGAAATAATTATAATATTGGTCGTGAAAGCCTACTTGTAACTTGTTGTCTAATTAACCTGGTATTTTCTTTGATTCTAATTCGCCTTTAATAGTTGCCCCACAGTATACAGTGCATGTTTTTCACCTGTGTCACTCCCAACAATTATTTTAATTGGATTCAGCAAGCGTGGTGTGAGTGATTAAACGTAATTTGGTGACGCGGCAGCGTTGACAGTAGTGCACAGGCACAATTATAAGAAATGCATATTCTTGGTTCTTTCGGTAAAGTCACGTAGCAGGGAAATAATAAAATAATAAAATAAAACCTAATAAAATACATACATACATAACACTACACTGCCTTTCATATAATAGTTGTCTTGCAATGGCTTTTTTTCATCGCACATACAATGTACTTTGAAGAGGGGCCATTGCCCGAAACGTCGCCTATTATTTTTCTTTTGAGGCCGGAGTGCTATTGACGAATGTGAGTTTTACTCGGCTGTACGTCACTTTGTGCGCTATTTTGGCTTGCGCGCTTATCTTCAGTCAAACTTTGAAAATAACTTTCCCGTAATGTTGTTGCCTGCGATATTAAAACAAATACTTTTTGTACTGTTTTGGCTACACATTTATTAGATTTGTCACAATATTTTTTAATTCTTACAATGGAAATTTTAAATCCGCGGATAAACGTGCAGATACGCTGATATTGAGTGATAAACCGGGCGACCCGAGTTCAATTCGTGGCCACGACTACAAACGCAGATTGGCGAGTAATGTCAGAACGTGCCCTGGTCCAACTCATAAAATGTTAGGTACCGTCCACTGATTTAAAACCTTCTCCTTTAGGCATA